TCCGGGACCGAAGGCCCGAGGATCGAATGCTCGAGGATCGAGGCGGCGACGGCGACGCCGCGGCCGCGCGAGGGCAGCCCACCGCGGCGCTTCCCCCTCCTGCTGCTGCATCCTTCCACCTCCTCCTTTGAGGGGCAACGATGGGGGGGACTGGCATAAGGGGGGATGTATAGACCTGGACTCGGCGATACCTCGCCGCTAGATCGGCGATGGACCACCGATAGATGGTTGACCCTGATCCTTTCACCTCCTTGCTGCCGCGCCTCATCTCTCCCTGCAAAAGATAACTCGCGATGAGCACCTGGCCCCAGGGAAGCGGTCCAGATCTCCAGAGGCCCACGTTCTTCCAACGTCCTGGCGGCGCGCACAAGGGGGTGGAGGGAGGGGGGAAGGCTTCTTAGAAGGAAGCTGCTTCTTAGAAGGCGCCAGCCTTACATCTATAGATAAGGCCCGCGCCTTCTAAGAAGCATGAGTGCTTCTGAGAAGCCCTCCCCCCTCCCCCCACCCCCCTCTGCGCGTGGCTGAGCAATTCCCAAAGACCTCACCGCACGGTCCGTCAACGCACGGCTTTGGGACCTCAAATGCCCCAATCGCCCGAGACGTCCTCGGAGAACGATCCGAGAACCGTGCGGTGACCCCGAATCCCAACCGACTCACCGCACGGTGTGGTCACCACCCCGTTTGGGAGCCGCTCGCAGGTCCTGGAAACCCTCGTGGGAGTGCCGGAGGACACGGCGAGGTGCAGGGCGAGCGCGATCCAAGACACACGTTAGGTCGGGCATGTCCCCCTACACGCGGACCTTGAAGGACACATGAACAATCGTCCAAACGTATCGAGTAAGCAAACATAGGCCAAGAGATAGTCCCCAGACCATTTCTGTACTCTTTTTGAATCTCCCTCCTGTCGAGGGACATGCCCGACTTAAGACACACGCGCTCACCAATTGGGCGCCCGAGTTGTCCGGGGTAACTCGGGTCCGGGGTAACTCGGGTTTGGATTCCCGAAAAAGGGACCCGAGTTAGCCCTGACCCGAGTTACCCGTGATGGTGTGGGGCTCTGGACGCCCGAGTTGTCCGGGGTACCTCGGGTCCGGGGTAACTCGGGCTTGGATTCCCGGAAAACGAACCCGAAACCTGAGTTAGCCCTGACCTCAGTTACCCCTGATGATTCGGGGCTCTGATATTTCTGTACTCTTTTTGACCCTCCATCCTGTCGAGGGACATGCCCGACTTAAGACACACGCGCTCACCAGGCGGCGTGCACGCGCGGCGCCTGCTCCGCGTCCGCGGCGGAGCGCGGCACGAAGCTGGGCGCCACCTGGCGCGCGAGCGCGCGCCGCCGGCGGGCCGCGGAGGGCCCGCGCGCCCCTCCTCGGCCTCGAACGTGGCGACCCCTTCGTCCCCGCCCTTCCTTCCGCCGCGTCCTCCTCCTCCTCCTCCTCTTCCTCCTCCTCCTCCTCCCTTCTCCTCCTCCTCCTCCTCCTCCTCCTCCGCCCTCCTCCTCCTCCTCCTCCTCCCTCCTCATCCCTCCTCCTCCTCCTCCTATCCTCCTCCGCCTCCTCCCTCCTCGTCCTCGTCGCCCTCCTTCCCACCACCCCGACTGATGTGCTCTTCCTTCCCCGCTCCTGCCTCGCCCTCCTCTTGCCCTGACCCTGCTCCCGGTGCTGCGTCTCCCGTGCCCCCCCCTGCTCCTCCGGATCCTCGGGCTCCCCGCTCGGGCCCTCGCTCCTCGTGCTGCGCGACCTCCTGCCCCTCGTGCTCCACGGTGTCATATGCTCCACCTGGTGCTGCTCTCCGTCCCCATCCCCTATCCTGCCCCCCTCCTGATCTCCGCTCACTCCTGCATGCATCTCACCCTGCTACGTCTTCCTCTGCAGCGTCTCTCGCTCTCCCTCATGATATTCCTCCTCATGAGATTCCTCCCACGCTGCTGCTAAGTTGCAGCAAAAGGCCTGCGATTAAAGCGAACACGCGCCTCCCCCCCACCACCCACCCAACCATCCACCCACCCACGCACCCACCAACCCACTCACCAACCCACCCACCCACCAGCCCCCCCCCCCCCCACACACACATACACACACAGACACACACAGACACACACACTCACAGGCACACACACACACACGCACGCACACAAACACGCACACACACACACACAAACACACACACAGACACACACACACACATTTTGACGTCGTCGCGACTACGCGCGCGGCGCGGCGTGGGGCAAGTCGAGCGAACATGCGGTGCGCGATCACACACACACACACACAACAAAACATCACAAAAGGGGGAGGGAGGCAGCCTGGATGACAGAAGTCAAAGGCCATTGGGACATCAAAACAACACATTTCCACACTGACCTCGCACAAGCCAGAGAACTCCAGCAAAGCACGCGTGCCTTAAATCGGAACGCCGTCAAGGATCCTCTCCTCTGGATCCGTCTCCTCCTCAATGGCATCCTCCTTCTCCTCCTCCTCCACCTCCGCCTCCCCCAGCTGATGGCCCGGCTCACCTATTCCACATGGTACCTTCGCTCCTCCTGCTCATCATCGTCATCATCATCAGCATCATGATAATCATCATCATCATCAGCATCATCATCAACATCAGCATCCTCATCCTCATCCTCATCCTCACCATCCTCATCATCCTCATCAGCATCATCCTCACCCTCATCCTCATCCTCATCCTCATCAACCTCATCCTCATCCTCATCCTCATCCTCATCCTCATCCTCATCCTCATCCTCATCATCCTAATCATCATCCTCATCCTCATCCTCATCATCATCACCAGAAACGCACGAGGCAATAGATTCGTTTCTCCAGTCGACCGCAACTCTCGAGTCGGTCGGCGGGGCCAGCCGTGGGGCCACTGTTGGCCATGGGTTCGGCCCCCTCGCCCTGCACCTCGCCGGTCGTCTCGGTCCACGTCACTGCACGCCGCCTCTCGTTTGTGGGTTGTGTGCACCAGAGCGTCTGCATCCCGATTCCTCGGCACAAGGTTCGCAGGAGCTCCCATCAGCCATCGGTGCAAAATGAACAAACAACATCATCATCATCATCATCATCATCATCATCATCATCATCATCATCATCATCATCAACAACAACAACAACAGCATCATCATCCCTCATCATCATCATCATCATCATCATCAGCATCATTATCATCATCATTATCATCATCAGCAGCATCATCGTCATCGTCATCAGCATCATCATCATCACCATAATCAGTATCGTGAGCAGTATGACCACCATTATCATGATCGTTATCAACATCACCACTAGTATCATCATCCTCATCTTCACTAGCATCCTCATCATCACCACCACGTTCACGATGACCAGCCTTATCATCATCATCATCATCACCATCATCATCATCATCATCATCGTCGTCGTCGTCGTCGTCGTCGTCGTCGTCGTCGTCGTCGTCGTCGTCGTCATCAGCATCATCAGCATCATCATCAGCATCACCATCATCGTCCTCATCCTCATCCTCATCCTCATCCTCATCCTCATCCTCATCCTCATCATCATCACCACCATCACCATCACCATCACCATCACCATCACCATCACCATCACCATCACCATCACCATCACCATCACCATCACCATCATCATCATCAGCATCATCATCATCATCATCATCATCATCATCATCATCATCATCATCATCGTTATCGTCATCGTCATCGTCATCATCATCATCATCATCGTCATCATCATCAACAACATCAGCATCCTCGTCTTCCCTCCTCCTCCCCCTCATGTTCGTCCTGTCATCATGGGTGCCAACTTGGAGGGCTCAAGCTGCAGTTCGAGTTCCCCTCTTGGGGCCGTACTGGGGGCCTCTCCAGCCCTTGCTGGGGGCCTTGGGAACTGCCTGGGGGCGATCTTGGGAGCCGTGTGGGGCCTCAAGACCGTGAATCTGGTAACTAACGTTCAGTCATGCCAATCGAGTGAGCGACGATCAGAAACGGGTCTTACGCGAGATGGTATTGCGACCGTACGCGGTAGCTTTCGCGGGCCGCCCTCGCGGCACGCCACATTGGTGACGGGGGCGTTTACGCGAGACCTTACGCGGGCAGTTTACGCGCCAATGGCGGTGAAAATGACCCCCGTTTTTGATCGTCGCCCAAATGTTTGACCGGCTTGGAGTTTGGACCTCTTGGGCTGGCCCCCAGGCCTACGAAGACGGCCCACGAGGAGGCCCCCAAGACTGTCCCAGGACGGCCCGTGGCCATTTTGGCTCGAGTGCCCTCCCCAAAATGCGGCCGGTGCCGCCTCGCTCGACGGCGGAAATTTGCGATTTCCCATGGAAGCGGGACCGGTCGCTAATCCACGCCCCCTTGATCCATGTTTGCGATCGCCTGATTCCTCCGCTTCCTCCTCGTCCTCCTCCTCCGCCTCCTCCCCCTTCCCGTCGGTTTCTTTCGGGCCGCCCGGGCTCTGGCTCGCCACCCTGGTTTCCAGCCCTCGCGGAAGGTTTGTCAAGGGGTCGGGGGTTTGGACGTCGCTAGACTCTAGAGGTGCATAACAAAGAAATCCTCCCCTCCCTCCTCCTCCTGAAGGCCGTGCTTTTTGCACAGGCGATCTGGCTCGAAATTTTCGGGCCAAAACTCAATTTCCCGGCGGTTTTTCGGGACGATCTGGGCATCCCCGGAACGCTCTCGGCGAGGCGCACCTGCTGGCACACATCTCCAGGCAGGACGACATACAGAGGCCCGACGAAGTCGGCGAGAAGAAATGGGCCCTCGGCTTTGAGCAAAGACTGAGCCTGGCGGCATTCCCGTAGACCTACCATTAGGTCGGGCGTGTCCCCCTACAGGAAGGATCTTGGCAGACAAATGCAAAACAATCTCAAAAAATACCTCCCAAATGATCAAACATAGTCAAAAATTCGTCCTCAGACTATTGTTTTACTATTTTTGAACACTCCCCCTGTAAAGGGACAGGCCCAATTTAAACCCACCATGAAATTCTATCAGAACATCAGAACGTTTGCATCACAAGAACCATCTTAAAACATACGGCCGGCGCCGTGAGACACGACTGCCTCAGCCAGAATGTCCTGCGAACATCTCTCGGGAGCGGCCAAGAAGGGTGTGTCCAAGAGGGGGGGGCAAATCATGACCGGCGGCATGTGCGCGGCCCAGCGGGGGGGCCAGGGACGTAATGAAATAAGAAGGGGGGCGCCATGAAATCTGGGGAAATATCATGGCCCCCGCCATGATTATCCACCCCCCCCCTAGTCATCACCCCCCTCTTTTCCGCCCCCAAATCTCGCAGGCACCGCAGAAGCGACGACGAGCTCCTCCGGTGGGCCCCGCGGGCATGGCGGGGCGCCGCGCCCCTGCCCGGCGGCGCTACGGAGACCCGCCGAGGCACAGAGGGCGAGGCCAGACCCGGGCCGGGCACCGCAGAAGTGACCATGAGAAGATCCTCTGTGGAGAGGCCCTGGGACACACAAATAAAGACTCACTAATAACAGGATTCCCCATATTTTCCAAAATTTGATGGGCTTTTGTCTTCCACCCCGCTTCCCATACTTTCCCATATTTTCTGGGGAATCGACAATTCATTGTGTCTGTGTGTTTTTTTCCCCTCCTGACTCTGGTGGGCCCGTGGGCAAGCCGGGACGCTTCGCCACTGCTCGACGGCGCCGGAGACCCGCCGAGGCTCGGGGGCGGCCAAGGGGGAGGCGTCCAAGAGGGGGGGGGGCGCAAAGCATGGCCGGCGGCGTGTGCGCGGCTCGGGGGGGGGCGGGGACGCACTGAAAGAAGGAGGCGCCGGGAAATCTTGGGGAGATCTCATGGCCCCCGCCATGACACTCCCCCCCCCCAAGTCGGATCATCCCCCCCCCTCTTGGCCGCCCCCGACTCCCAGACCCCCGACGTCATGATTTGTTCATTGCGTCGACCCCTGGAGGTCTCGACCCATCCCCCTGGACTGGTTTCCATCCTGAATCGTTTCTTGACGGTCTGTCTCGAGGGCCGGCAAAGGCCCCCAGAGGCCGAAAATTCGCCGACCCTGTCGGCGTGTGTGAGGGACTTGTCCGTTCAAGTCGTCATCTCCCTCATTCGTTGGTCGTCGTCTCTGTCGTCCCCTTTCCCTGCCTACCCCCCTTTCCCTGGCCTCGTCGAAGCTCCCCCCTTTCCCAGGGACCTCCTCAGCGCGCCAGCCAAAGCGAAAAAAAACAACGTCGTAATTGAGTCGAAGGGAAGCCCCTTCACTTCGATCCCTCCCCTGCCGGCCGGGGGGGGGGGGTCCTGGGGGGGGAGGGGGTCAGACGCCTCGGGGGGGGGGTCAGATACGACGCCCCCCTTGGGAGTCGCGGAGCCCCCACAAAGCCCCAAGACGGGCCAAGAGTGCCCCAAGAGGCAGTCCAAGAGAACCCCGAATCGCCGAACGATCGGTCCAAGACGCCTTGACGGCCTCCAGACGGCCCAAGAGGCCTGCAAAGCGCCCCTAAGAGGCCTCCAGGAGCTTTCTCACGAGAGTCCCAAGAGGCAACATGCATGGATTTCCAATACGTGTTTGACAGATGTTGGCGTTCTTGCCTCTTCCGCTTCCCGACGCGCCAAGACGGCCCAAGAGGTCCCCAAGATCGCCCCGAGACGGCCCAAGAGGCCCCCAAGAAGGTCCCCTAACGGCCGAAGAGGGCCCCAAGACGGCCCAAGACGCCTCCAAGACGGCCCAAGAGGCCCCCAAGACGGCTCCAGGAGAAGGCCCAGACGGGGGACCCCAACGGACATTTCGGGCTCTCAGGCCCAAGAGGCCCCCAAGAGGCCCCGAAGAAACCCCAAGAGGCCTCCAGGGGCCCCGAAACTACCCCCAGGCAGCCCAGGAGAGGCCCAAATTGCCCAGGAGGCCTCCAAGAGTGCCTCGAGACGGCGCAAAGGAGCCCTGGACGGCCCAAGACGGCCTCAGGAGAGCCACAGGCTGTCCCAAGAAAGCCTCTGGCCTTCTCCTCTTCCTCCTCCTCCTCCTCCTCATCCTCCTCCCCCCCCCCTTCTGCTGCCCCTCCTCCTGCTCTCCTCTGGCTCCTTCTCCTCCTCGTGCTTCTCCTCCACATCCTTCTCCCCCCTCCTCCTCTCTCATCCACCTCCTCCACCCTGCCCCCGCTCCTCGTTTTCATCTTCGTCTCTCTCAGGGTCGGCGGCAACGGCCGTAAGGCCTTCGCAATAGCAGGAAACCTCCCGTCATGATTTTCTCATTCCCCGAGGGGGTCTGGGCTCTTCGTCCTCCTCGTCATGGCACGCCCGCAGGAGGAGCTGGAAGAGGAGCGCGGCAGGAGGAGCTGGAGGAGGAGGAGGACGACGACGAGGAGAAGAGGAGGAGGAGGGGGAGGAGGAGAAGGACGAGGAGGAGGAGGAGAAGGAGGGGGAGGAGGAGGAAGAGGAGGAGGAGGAGGAGGAGGAGGAGGAGGAGAAATAATAGGAGGAAGAAGCCGCCCCCGCGAGGCGCAGAAGGCCAGGCCAACCCCAGCGGGGCACGCCTGTGCCCTCACGGCGCCGGCGCCCATCCTGACGCACCGGGGCACCGAGCCCAGGTAGCCCCGCACGGCGGCCCAGGCGCACACGTACGGCAGGTCGGCGCTCGTCTGGGGAGCGATTGGGGGGCAAAGCGGGGGCAATTGGCGGCGCGCACAAGAGGGTGGAAGGAGGGGGGAGGGCTTCTTAAAAGGAGCCTGGTTCTTAGAAGGCGCTGGCCTTACATCTATAGATGAGGGCCGCACCTTCTAAGAAGCAGGGGTGCTTCTGAGAAGCCCTCCCCCCTCCTCCCACCCCCCTCTACGCGGGGCGGGGGCAAGACGAAGCACAGGCGGCGAGCACATGGCATGTCAACGTCCACGCCCTCGCGGTCTGGACTCCGGGGCGCGATATCCCGTGGACGCGCGCTCCCATGGATCTGTTGCGGGGCACCCGTAAACCACACGCGCTTGGACGCCCGAAATGGGCACGGAAAACCGTGTCGTTCGTGCCGAACACGCATCGCCTCCATGGGGTTTCGCAGCCCAGGGGCCCTGCCTTCGGGAGCGGCGAAGAGGGGGGTGTCCAAGAGGGGGGGGGGTGCAAATCATGGCTGGCGGCGTGTGCGCGGCCCAGCGGCCGGGCCCGGGACGTGATGAAATAAGAAGGGGCGCCAAGAGATCTGGGGAGATATCATGGCCCCCGCCATGATTATCCCCCCCCCCCTAGTCATCGCCCCCCTCTTTGCCGCCCCCGATGCCCGCGAGGCCGCGGGTGTGGGACTGCTTCGAGCCGGGCGAAAGGGGGGGATAGCAAAGGGGGGGGGGTTGGGACTCTGCAGCTCGCGTAGCTGATTTTCCCGGCGCCTCCCGGCGCCGGGAGGCGCCCACGTATCGAGGAATGGGCCCGGCGGCGGGGCCGGCGGAGGAGATGCGAAGAGCAAGGGGGGCCTCCCTGGTGCTGTGGTCCCCCCTCTCGCTCGAGACATCCCCAGCCTCCAGCTCGAGGAGGCATCGTGGACCTACCTCCTCGCTGGAGGTGGCCACTCTGGTGATGTTGGTGGCGCTTCTCATCCCTCCGAAGGTGCTCCGAATGTATCCATATTCACCACCTGCCAAGGTCCCCGGAGCTCGATCCCCCGGGCTGCGGTTATGGTAAACCTACACCTCGGAATCTTCTGCGGCAGCTCACGGGAGCCTCCCATACCACCTCGCTGGCTCTTGCGGATCGACGCTGGTCGACGCTCATCGACGGCACATCGACGCTACAGGACCCTAGCCAAAGCTCATCGACACTGAATCGTTTTTGTTGAATACCAAACGCTAATCGGCGCTAGTGCGCTCCAGCGACGGCGTTGCGAGGGAATACAGGCCCCCATGAAGCGCGAGCGAAGGAACCATCCTCTGGCCGCCCGAATCAGCAACGACGGCAACCGCTCGGACTGGATGGCACGAACACGTTCGTATTCTCTGCAGCAGACCGCTTGGGTGACTGCAAAAAACCGAAGGATTGCAAAGGATTGCAACGAAGGATTGCAAAAAACGAAGGATTGCAAAAAACCTTGGATTGCAAAAAACTAAGGATTGCAAAAAAACCCTTGAACGAAGGATTGCAAAAAACCCTTCGAAGGATTGCAAAAACGAAGGATTGCAAAAAACCCTTTTTGCAATCCTTCGAGTTGAAAAGAAAAACGTGTCCGTGATCATTTCGACATCTGGCCGCCCGAATCAGCGACGACGGCAGCCGCTCGGCCTCGCCTCTCCTTTGTGGGCGTCACAGATTCGCCTGCTCAAACCTCCTCCCCCCTTGGGGGGGAAATCCCCTTGCGGACGCGTTGGTCCGCGAACCATGCCTTGGGGGTTGCTGCTAGAAGTGCCCTGGCCCAAGGTGCCCCGAGGATTTCCAAGCAGGCCCCACCAGACTTCAGAGCCCCCCTCACGAGGCCAGGAGGGCCTCGGTGGCTCCAAAATGAAGCGCAAGGCTGGGGGATCCTTGAACCAGGGACATCTTGAGCAACCCCGAGTTGCAGGGAAGGTGGACTTCGCGCTGGCAACCTGAATCAGTGACGACGGCAGCCGCTCGGTCTCGTCTAGCTCCAAGCGGCAGATCTTCCCGTCGCCCCAGGCGCAGGAGCCGCCCACGTCCTGCTCCTGCCGGGCTGCTCCGCCGAGAAGCTGGACTCTGTTGAGCGACTGGCACGCTGGGCCACTGTGAATCGAATTGGGAGCAAGCTTGGCGGGGGAAGGTCCCTCAGAAGGCCCCTCAGGACGCGGACACATTCGGATGAGAATAATGCGAGAATGACAAACACGTGCGATCTGCGAAGCTACACTACCCAAACATGCGTCCTTACCAGATGTGCCCTGCATGTGCGCTGCTGGGCAAGCCACGACTTAAACAATGATGCCCTACGGGGCAGCAATCATTGAACAACGATGGAAACAAATGAAGCATCTGTAAACAACAAGGACCTGCGAACAACAACCGGCATCGATTCTACCGATGCATCGACATATTACATTTGACACATGGAAGTCTAAGCAACTCTCTCTCTCTATATATATACACATCCATATAGAAATGTATAAACATGAGCGTCCAAACACCACCCACACAATCTGCATGTTTTGCAACGGTGCACACATACATTTCGATGTTCCGATGCGTCCACTCGTTAGTAGCATTGTGCGTCCAATGCGCATCAAAGATGATGTCACCCCAACCCCCTAACTTCCGGATCACCCGAAGGATGGAATGTTCGGCAGAGCCTCCATTACAAGAGTACCAATGCTAGAGGTGGAGGTGGAGGACAAGGAGGGGGGGAAAGGCCCGCCACAAATGTCCCGCCTCCTTCCCCCCTGGGTCTCCCAAGTCTCTCTGGCGGCCGCGCTGTTCCGCACGCTCGTGGCCTTCAAGGCGCTGGGCCAGTCGGCGACCTCGGCGCCGGGCTCGGAGGACCAGGGCCGCATCAGGCCGCTCTGCTCTAGGAGAGGGCGATCAGTTCCTCCAGCCCGCCCCTCCACGCGGACCTCGTAGGAACACGATGAGGACATGTTAGCAAACGTAGAACCTAAACATTGCGCTGTAGCACCGGGAAGGTGCAAGTCCTTCGGTGCGAGCCAGGTGGGAAAAACGACGTGGTGTAAGCTACTGGTGTGAGCTGTGGGGATGAACACTCTGCGGTGCAAGCCAGGTGGTGCAGGCCACGTCGTGTAAGCCACGCGGTCTGGATTGGCAGTGAGAACCATGCGGTGGAAAGTATGTGGTGCAAGCTACGTGTCGCGCAAGCTGCGCGGTGTAAAATCTGCGCGAACTATGTGGCGGAGGCTACGCCGTGCAACTTCACAGAGGGCCCCGACGAGGCGGCACGGGCGGCAGCGGGGCGCAACCTCGACACACACTCAGGTCGGGCGTGTCCCCCTTACATGCGGATTCTGGACGAAACAGATAAAGACCCCAAAACATTCGGGGGGGGGGGGAACAAAAGAAAAACAAAGATTTGAAAAAAACGTCCCCAGACTGGTCTTTGACCATTTCTGAATACTCCTCGTGTAGAGGGGACAGACCGGACTAAAATATATACACACACACACACACTCCGCGCGCGGGGCGCCGACGAGGCGCTCGCGGGGCGCCCACGTGGCGGCCACGACCGACGGACCCCCAGGAGGCAGCAAGACGTGGCGCAGCCTCGACACACCCTGAAGTCGGGCCTGTCCCTCTACTACAGGGGAAAGATTCAGAACACGTGTACGGCTTCACCGGGGCCGTAGGCGACCCGAGAAGGAGGAGGAGGAGGAGGAGGAGGAGGAGGAGGAGGAGGAGGAGGAGGGGAGGGGGAGGAGGAGATGAGGAGGAGGAGGAGATGGAGGAGGAGGAGGAGGAGAGGAAGGAGATGAGGAGGAGGAGGAGGAGGGGAGGAGGAGGAGGAGGAGGAGGAGGAGGGGAGGAGGAGGAGGAGGAGGAGAGGCGGAGGAGGAGGAGGAGGAGGAGGAGGAGGGGTCGCCTAAGCCCTTCGGAGAAACCCTCCATCCTGGGGTCAGCCTGCTTCTTAGAAGGCGCCGGCCCTACATCAATAGAGAATGATAAGGCCCGCGCCTTCTATGAAGCAGGGGTGCTTCTAAGAAGCCCTCACCCCGCCCCCCACCCCCCTCTCTATGACCCCACCCCCCCCCCCCCCTCCCCCCCCCCCCCTCCCCCTCCCCCTGCCCCCCCCCCCCTGACCCTCACCCCACCCCGCCCCCCCCTGCGCGTGACTGTTCCATCATGACCCGTCTCTCGATCGAGGCGGCTCCGGCCGTGGCGACGAGAAGCCCTCCCAGGCCCCAGTACAAAGACGCGCCACGCCGAGGAGGCGGTGCCTCAACCGGCCCTCCCCCGAGATACCAAGCCCCCCTCCTCCTCCTCATCCTCCTCCTCCTCCTCCTCCTCCTCGTCTTCGTCCTCGTCCTCGTCCCCCTCCCCCTCCCCCTCCCCCTCCTCCTCCTCCTCCTCCTCCTCTCCTCCTCCTCCTCCTCCTCCCCCTCCTCCCCCCCTCCCCCTCCTCCCCCTCCTCCTCCCCCTCCCCCTCCCCCTCCCCCTCCTCCTGCTCCTCCTCCTCCTCCTCCTCCTCCTCTCCTCCTCCTCCTCCTCCTCGTCCTCGTCCTCGTCCTCGTCCTCGTCCTCGTCCCTCCCCCTCCCCCTCCTCCTCCTCCTCCTCCTCCCCTCCTCCTCCTCCTCCTCCTCCTCCTCCTCCTCCTCCTCCTCCTCCTCTCCTCCTCCTCCTCCTCCCCCTCCTCCCCCTCCTCCCCCTCCCCCCCCCCCCCTCCCCTCCCTCCCCCCCCTCCTCCTCCCTCCTCCTCCTCCTCCTCCTCCTACTCCTCCTCCACCACCTTCTCCTCCTCCTCCTCCTCCTCCTCCTCCTCCTCCTCCTCCTCCTCCTCCTCCCCCTCCTCCTTCTCCTCCTCCTCCTCCTCCTCCTCCTCCTCCTCCTTCTCGTCCTCCTCCTCTTCACGGATCCTTGGATGTTGCACGTTGGCGCCAGATCCATGCGTCGGGGAAGGTACCCCGAGACGTGGGGCCGGCGCCGCCTGACTCGGCAACGGAGGGCAGCGATTCTGCACGGAAGCGACACTGGCGCTGATCTGGGCATCTCAGTCCACGTCTGCGCTGCATCATCCCGAATCCCAGGTCGCAGGCAGCACCGCCTCCGAGGCCGCGGCCGTGGTCGTGGCGTCGGGCACCTCCGCGAGCGAGAGTACCCCGGACACCTCGGCCACCCCCGACTCTCTGGGGCCTGCACATCGGCACCAACACATACACACGTGGGTCTCCACCGAGGGAACATGATCCTGGATGTTGGTGCTGGTGGTGATCTTTCGGCCACTCAAGAAGCCCAACCAACATCACCGAGATCGGGATCATCCTACACCGATGGAGACATCCGCGTGGTGTGGGTGCCAACCTCTGAGACTCCCATATCTCACCTTGACGTGTCCCCCTAGGTCAGGAAGCGGCCCTTCCCCGGCGCCCTCATCCGCCCTCCTACTCCAGCGCCTGCTGCATTTTCGCCCCCTCGTCGCCTCCGCCTGCGACTGTAATCTGCTCTTCGTCCCCGTCCCTTTCTCCCCTACGCTTCCGGCTCCACCCTCCCTGCCTCCCTCACTCCTCAAACTCCTCCTCGTCCACCCATTCCCCCCTCCCCTCGACCACACCGCACCACGGATTAGGGATCCGTGGATCTTGCGCGTTGACACCAGGTCTATGGATCGCGGAACATACCACCAAAGCATGGTGCCAATTCCGCGTGACTTCGCGACGGAGCGCGCCGAGTCTGCACGGAAAATGGATCCGTCGCTTACTCACACGCCATATAATCCATGTTTGCGCTTCCTCGAACCTCCTTCCCCTCCCCCTCCCACCTCCTCTTCTTTTTCTTATTCGTCTTCGTTCTCCTTTCCCTTATTATTACCTAGTATCTTCCTCTTCCTCCTCCTCCTCCTCCTCCTCCTCCTCCTCCTCCTCACCCTCCTCCTCCTCCTACTCCTCCTCCCCCTCCCCCTCCCCGTTCCCCTCCCCCTCCTCCTCCTCCTTTTCCTCCTCCTCCTCCTCCTCCTCCTCCTCCTCCTCCTCCTCCTCCTCCCCCTCCTCCCCCTCCTCCCCCTCCCCCTCCCCCTCCCGACGAAGCCTCGTCCTGGCGCTGGCCACGACCGCCCCCGGACGCCTGCTCGTGGTGCACGGTGAAGTAGCACTCGGGGCTGGACCCGGCTGCCTGGCAAGGGCCGCCGGGCCCGCCCCCCCGATCTTCCCGAGGCTGGAGGGGTATGGCCAAGCTGTGGGGGGGCCACAGACACGCTAGGGGACCACATCCTTGTTCCTTATTATTATATACCCCCACCTACCTCGCATTCCGGCCGATAGCGACCCAATCCGGGACCTCCCATCCGGACGGTGAAAAAATACAAAATGGCCGTTTCTTATCAACATCGTCTTTCTTGTCGTCGGCGATGCGAAAAGCGTGGCAGGAATGGGACGCGGCGCGCATCGCGCGCGGCAGTCAATCTGTGCCCGCCCATCCTGACTGTGAAAAATCAATACAAAGTCTTCGTTGTTTCCTCTCAGCATGGCCTGCCTTGTCGCCGACGGTGTGAACTATGTAGCAACAGTGGGACGCGGCGCACATATGGGACGCGGCGCACATCGCGCGCGGCCGTCAATCCGGGCCGCCCATCCTGACTGTAAAAAATCAATACAAAGTCTCCGTTGTTTGTTCTCAGCATGGCCTGCCTTGTCGCCAACGGTGCGAAATATATGGCAGGAATGGGACGCGGCGCGCATCGCGCGCGGACGTCCATGCGGGCTGCGGGCCCTCCCGCCATCCTGACTGTAAAAAACAATACAGAGTTGCCGTTTTTCATTTCATCATGGCCTGTTTTGTCGTCGACGATGCGAAATGCGTGGCAGGAATGGGGCGCGGCGCGCATCGCGCGCGGACTTCTGGGGCAACCCCAAGGCGGGAGGGGCCACCTTATTTGTCAGAAACAATGCCATCCTGATTTTCCCTGCCCACTTCGCTGTTCTTGCCGTCCAACCCGCAAAAGTGCATGGCAAGAATTGGGCGCGGCACACACCCCTTCCCCCCCGCGCTGAAATGCCCGCGCAGCCCCCAGTTGTGCCATCACTGTTTCTTATGTTGTGGGAGGGCGGGTGGGAATGGGCATGCCATGCTTGACTCGCTCGAGCTGGCTAGCTTGATGCGAACCCTACCCCTACCCCCCACGTTTTCTTAGGTTCACTTCGTTAGGGAGCTCCCGAGCGAAGTGAACCCCACACTTCCCGAGGGTGGAGGGGTATGGCCAACCTGCGGGGGGGCCACAGACATGCGGGACGGTCGGGCCGGGCGAAAGGGGGGGATAGCAAAGGGGGGGGTGAGAATCAGCTCACGTAGCTGATTTTCCCAGCGCCTCCCGGCGCCGGGAGGCGCCCATGTATCGAGGAATGGGCCGGGCGGCGGGGCCGAAACCAGCTGCATGCAACAGATTTCGTACCCCCCCCTTTCCCAATCCCCCCCTTTCGTCCGGCCCGAGACGGGAACATGACCACAGCCACTGCTCCTTGTCTGCGCCGCCTTCCAGCTGGCCGGAGATAAAAAGCAGTGGCTGTGGTCATGTTCCTGGTGCCACGCTCAACGAGCATGACCGCAGTCGCTGCTCTGTGTCTGCTGGCTGGAGGGCGGCGCCAAGAGAAAGCAATGGCTGTGGCCATTTCCCCGTCCCGTAAGGCAGTCGTGACATGGCTTTGGATTCATAAACTCGTGCTGCGCGCTGCGCGAGGCGCGAATCGCGTCGCGCTCTCCCGCCGCCCGCCAGGGGAGAACTCGCCATCGCTCGGACGTCCGTTTCCTGTGTTTTTTCGGTTTCGTGCGTGGCTTTTTCGCCAAATGGTCAAGGATGATCCTCGATGGTCCTCGGCGAAGGAAAAATGCACACGTCCGAGCGATACCAAGAGAAGGGGAGGGCGAGCAGGAATCGGAGCCGAAGCGTGACGCGCGAATAGCCTCGCGCCCTCGAGGGCGCCCTGGCAGTGGCAGCGGGATGCAGCCGAGACGTTGCCGCACGCACGTCGATCCAGAACGCGAGCCCCTGCGCCGAGGGCCTCCTCCTTCTCCTCCTCCTCCTCCTCATCATCATCCTCCTGATCCTCCTCCTGATCTTCCTCCTGATCCTCCTCCTGATTCTCCCCCTGCTCCTCCTCCTCCTCCTCCTCCCTCCAACTCCTCCAACTTCTCCAATGGAGGTGCCCACAACGAAGAGAGTTCTACGGGGGAGAGCCCAAAGGGCGAGGAGCATAATCAAGGTCAGCTGGTCGGCGGCGAGCGAGGGGCGGACGTGAGAAGGGGCGGGCCCTCTCGGAAGGCAAAGGAGTCCCGCCTACTGAGAAGTTCCCTCAGCCTTCCCCGAAGACACGGACGACCTCTAACAAGGCTTCTGAGAAAACACGCCGCCTGCTGTGAGTAGCAATAAAAGGACCCCCAATTCTTCGGGGGGCGACCACAGTCAGGAAGGCCGAACACATCAGGGATAAGGGGTCTCTTCTGCAGATGTATAAGCGCACCGCCCAAATGTATCCCCATTGCGAAAACGGATAGCTCGGTTGGGCCACGTCTTTCTCGTGCTACTAGGGTCAGGATTTGTGATCGTGCTCGACGATTCTGAGGAGGCCTCCTCCCTCTCACTTCCTCCCCCCTCGCCCGCCGCCGAATGCGCAAGCTGCGGGGGGTCCGCACAAACCGCCGAATGGCAGCAGCAGCGGGACCTGACCGCGACACTGCCACGCGAAGACGCCGATCGAGAACGGGAGCCCTCTCCGAGTGCCAGGGTTAGGTCGGGCATGTCCTTCTACTCGACGAAACGTAAAAGCAGGCACCACATATTCAACAATATTCAAACATAGTCAAACAATCGTTCCCAGACTATTTGATTGACTATTGTTGAACATTCCTCCTGTAGAGGGACAGGCCCGACTTAAGGCCAGGGGGGCCTTGGAAGGCCCACATCGCACGAAATTCCAGGGCTGGGCCAACGTTGTGTTCTTCGTTTTCGTGTTGTTGTCGTTTCCCCTCGTTGTGTGCCTCCGTTCCGCCTTCGCTGCAGAGCGCAAAAAGAGAAGTCAAAGCGCGAGCGGTTCACGAGATCGCCGAATCACCGCTTGGGTCGACCCCTGGAGACTTCGACGGTGGAGAGCCTGACGGCGAGGAACGTAATCAAGGTCAGCTAGGGTTAACTCGGACCTGTCCTCCTACTGGGGGATTTTGGACGAAAAATAAAAACTAGTCAAATAACACACCAAACTGGTCCCAAGATTCTAAACAGAAAAATCGTCCCCATATATTTCTTGCCTATGTTTGAGTACCCCTCCTGTAGAGGGACAGGCCCGACTTAAAGCTAGGGTTGTTCTTGAACCTCGTGCCAACTGTAACACTCGCTCTCCCCAGCAGGTCACCATGGGGATCGGATGGGGGGCTGCGAAGCAGCTGCAGCTTGGTCGCGCACGTCGCGCGTGCTGGTGCTCGGCCACGAGCTTGATCAAGCTGGGGGAATTTTGGCGGCTAGCGAGGGGCGCATGTAAGAAGGATAAGGCATTCTCACAAGGCTCGCAGTCCCCCAACCTTCTGAGAAATTTCGAGGCCTTCCCCGAAGACACGGGCAACTTCTTAGAAGGCGCGAGGGCTTCTGAGAAGTCCCGCCGCCTGCTGGGAGGGCCTTCTCCGTCTCACCTCCCCCCTCGCTCGCCGTCGAGCATCGGCTTGGGGCCCAGTCAACTCGAACAAGCAGCGGCAAAATATGCCGTGCTCATGTCATGGGCCAGGATTGCCTTCCCGCCGGGGCGGGGGGGGGATGGGGCCCGGGGGCCCCGGCCAGAAGGGCTCCCAGGGTCGGGGCGAGGCTGGGACCCATCTGGGGTGGCGCAGGGTACAAGTTGCAATGAACAGTTAAAAAAAAACTGCCGCCTACGACGGACTTTTGGACTTAGGCTCTAGCGAAATCCCCTCGACGCATGCAGGGCAACTGAGCGCGGGCACCCCGACAGGGTCAGGTCGCACCCCCCTGGGAACAGCTTTGGTATACAAAAACAACCCCCCAGGAAGAGCATTCTGTATACCAATACCAAACCCAGGAAGGCCTGCGACACCCTCTCCCGCAACCCTGCTCGATGACCGCTCGGAGTCCCGTGGCATCCCCTGGCGCCATGGCCAGCGCGATCTTGGCGTTGCAAGAACATGCGACGCAGGAGATGGGCCAGGCAGCCAGGGGGGGGGGCAGCTTAGAGGGCGCGTCGGATCTCGGGCCCGCCCAAACCCTCGAGATTTCGGGTATAGTATATAAAACATTCTGGCGGACCTCTGGGTCGAGGCTTACACCCGACATCGTGGCCCCAGTCTGTGCCGCCCCGCGCGGGCACCAACACTCTGCAGGTGCGCATGCACCCCTGCGCGGGCGTGCGACGCGTAGGGAAACGCGCGAACGCGCTGGCACTCCGGGTGACGGATTTTTCGCTAAGTCGAGCAAGAGCCTCCTCAGATCGAGCTCGCGTGCCAGACACTCGTTTTTTTTTCTGCACCCGTTCTCGCAAGCAAAAAGTTCGCAGGCGCGCCGCCAGGTTCGCGTGCGGACCAGCCCCGGATCGGGGAACATCAGCACGCTCACGTCATGGCCCTGGAAAGCATGACGCACGGGTGTAGCAGAAACGCATCCATGTCAAGACACGGCCCATGTCTTGGCAAGCCGTGGACGTCGAGACCTAGGCGTGGGACATGCGCAAACCAGCGCGAGGTACGTTGTGCTGGAACAGAAAACAACATCGTCTGGTAGCGCCCAAGGGCGGGGGAGGCGTCGATCCGGTCTGCGTGGGACGTCACTCCGATGAGATCAAAACACACCTGTGAAACCGGCGACACTGGCGCAGCTGGCAGTAACCAAGGGAAGGCGAGGTTTCGTTTAGGTCTGGGCAATACGTCACCCCAGAGGACCTCCGACGAGTTCTTGGTGACGGCGGCACTTGCGCAGCTGGCAACACCAACGGGGGCGAAGTCGCGATTGGGTATGCGTAGGACGTCGCTCTCCTGAACCCTAACAAGCTCACGAAAGCAGCGACCGTTGAGCAGTTGGCAGCACCCAGGGGAGGGCGACGTGTCGTTTGGGCCTGGTCAGGACGTCACCCCGCTGGATCTCCCACGAGTTCACGAAGGCGGCGACAATTGAGAATTTGGCAACACCCAACTCCGCTGGACCTCCAAGGAGCTTACAGTGCGGTGACGGTTGTGCAGTGGGCAGAAGTTGGCAGCTCAAAGGGGGGTAACGCAGAAGGCAGGCAGGAGGCAGGAGGAATCGAGCACTCGAGGCATGCGACACCACCTCGGTGAAACGACGAGTGGCAAGGAGGAGCAGCGGAGCAAGATGGGTAAACAAGGCGCAACGGCGCTGTATTCAAGACAACTACCAAGAAGGTTGGGAAAGCCCATTTCCAGAACTCTTCGGTTTAGGATCGCCCCCCGGACTGTCGGGAACGCCTCAGAGAGCCTCACTAAGCCACCACGACAGTCGAAAACTGCCCCACAAGCGCCTCGAGGCAGCCCCAACATTGTACGATCACCCCCGTGATAAGGCTTCACAACGGCCCCTACAGCATTCCGGACGTCCCCAATGTGATTCAGCCGAGCCTTTTCGGGAACGTCCTGTGGGAGCATCAGCGAGACCCCAACCGGGCCCCCAAGAAACCCTAGGACGTCCCCAGTTGGCCCCTGCTGAGATGCTTCTCAGAAGCCTTGCCTTCAAGAGGGAGCAGGGAGGCGGAAGAGAAGGAGGAGGACAAGGAAGAGAAAAGGAGATGGGGAAGGGGTTTGTCGCAGACAACACGATATTACGAATTGCGCGTGATAATGCCATGCGTATCGGGGATTGAGACGAAGCCCAGGAATTGCGCGTATTATAATTTGAGCTTATGTTTAGTTGTAAGTTGTTGTGCTTACCGTGTGATGCCTCGTGGCTGCTGCCACGCCCAGGTGTCCCACCCATGCCGATGGCTGTGGAAACACCATGCGTTCTCGGCGCGTGAATTTCATATGTTCCAAGCCGTCCTCTCGGCGCGCACACTTTGTGTTCCAAACCCGTATGCTGACCTCTGTGAGCGGAACTACGACGAAAGCGGCCGCGATGCACTAAACCTAACACCGCACTTCGACGAAACTGCGATATGGCATCGAATGGTGTTGGCCGTTCCCGCTGGCCTGTCCCGGCAACCACACCATCGCCTCCACCTTCGCGCTGCCAATAGACTCCTGCACCCCGGACACGGAGGGAGCCTGGCGGTCGGACCCCAGGAGGAGGAGGAGAAGGAGGAGGCGGAGGAGGAGGAGGCGGAGGAGGAAATGCAATTCAGCCGTGACGTGAATCTCACTGTGGAAGCGGCTGGGGGGGTCTGTTCTGGATGGGCCCCGAGCACATCTGCCAAGGGGGGGGGGGACGACGGCAAAGCTGCTCAGAAGCGGCCTTCTGGACCCCTCCCGGCGCGGAACGCCGACACAGTGTTCGAGCCGCGTCCAGCCGCGGCGACGAGGGGGCCGCTCGCCCCGCTCGTCTCTGGCCCGAACCAGCGCTGGACCCTGTGAGCCCCACAGCGGGCTCCAAATCTCACTGCTTTACAAGGTGCAACACTGCAGCAATACAGAAAAAGGAAAAGCAGAACGACGACCCTCATAAGAATCGCCCCGACTCGCGAAGCCGGTTAGTAAACGCACACTCAGACGGAATCGACCAGGGCAGGGGTGTTCAGTAAACGCCCAGGGCCGTTGAGTAAACGCCAACTTTCGGGTCCAGGCAGTTTTTCCTCCCTTGACGGAGAACCGCTGCTCCAGAGGAGGAAGAGGAGGAGGAGGAGGAGGAGGAGGAGGAGGAGGAGGAGGAGGAGGAGGAGGAGGAGGAGGAGGAGGAGGAGGAGGAGGGGGGAGGGAGGAGGGAGGAGAGAGGAGGAGGGAGGAGGGGGGAGGGGGGAGGAAGGAGTGGGGAGGGAGGAGGGAGGAGGTAGGAGGGATCCTCTGACTGTGGGGCGGGGCGGCAGCTCTGGACGTCCTGGAGAGGGGACGATTACTACGACGGGCAATCGCCCGACCTGGGCTGAGCTCGGGCCATATCAGGCCCTGTGCTGGCCCGCTGCCGACGCACTGCGTGCATTGGGAAGTCGAACCTGCTTCCAAGAGCACTGCTTCCAAGCAGGGCGTGTATTGGGAAGTCGAACATGCTTCCCAAAAACTGCTCCGAAGCAGGTTCGTTGGAAGCGGTTGTTTTTGGGAGCAGGTTCGACGTCCCAATGCACGCAGTGTTTGGGAAGCAGGTTCGACTTCCCAATGCACGCAGCTTTTTGGAAGCAGGTTCGACTTCCCAAAACACGCAGCTCATCTCAGACCTGCGCCTAGCTTATGCCCAAGTCGTTTGGAGCATCGCCCCCCACGATGCACGATGTGCGACCGTCTTCACACCGCGCGAGTGACCTCGTTATCCCGAGGCGGCCCAGACGGCCGCAAGCAGAGACCAGAAACAGCCAAGGGGGCGCGAGGAAGAAGGGAAAGCGACAGGAGAGCCCTGGGCGGAGCCGACAGGCAGGGAGCGCCTGCACTTCCCCGCCATTCGAATGCCCTCCCCGCCTGTTTCCCTCCTCTCTCTCCTCTCCCTCCCCTCCTGCTCCCCAGGTCGCCTAACTCCTCCCCTCCCCTCCTCTCCCTCCCCTCCTGCTTTCCTTCCCCTCCTGCTCTCCCTCCCCTCCTGCTCCCTCCTCTCCCTCCTCTCCCTCCCCTTTATCCTCTCCTGCTCCCCAGGCCGCCCAACTCCGCGCCTCGCGCCCCGCGGCGCGCGATCGTGGTCCAAACCGCGACGCGCGAAGCGGAACGCGACGATCTTCGCGCCCCCCGCGGGCGACCTGCTGCCCTGCAGCGCCTCCCGCCCTCCGGCCCTGCCCCACTCGGCCAGTCCTCCGCTCTGAGGCCCTTCGCCCGCCCTCGATCCCGACAAGATGCGCGGACAGCGCTACAGGGGCCCTGGGGCACACAAGCAGACAGACAGGCACACATAACGGGATTCCCCATCTTCTCCCACATGTTCTGGGTCATGTTCGTCTTCCCTACCTTCTCCCTATGTTCTCCCATATGTTCTGGGCCCCCCACTTCCCATCTGTTCCCATAGTTTCCTGGGAGTCGACGATTCATCGTGTCTGTGTGTTTCATTCCCTCCTGAATCACCTCCAAGAAGTGCGCCCCCCTCCCGCGCCTCGGCCCTCGCCTCCCGCCCTCCCCATCCAAACCCTCCCCTCCCCTCCAAACCCTCCCTTCCAACACCCCTCCCCGGACTTGTTGGAGGCCACGTGCGAGCCCTGCCCCACCTCCCCCCTCAGAAATATCGTGGGGCGGTGAGCACGGGCTCCCAACTTCGCGCTTCGCGCTGCGCGCAGCGCGAAGTGCGAATAAATTCGCGCTCTCGCGCCGCCTCCCAGGGGAGAAGCGGAGGAAGAGGAGGAATCGGAGCCGAACCGCGCAGCGCGAAGCGCGAATAACTTCGCGCCCTCGAGGGCGCCCTTGGGGAGGCAGGGTTCGCATGTGGCCTCCTGTGACTCTGCCTGCCAGCCCGCCCGAACCTGACCCGAAGACCCAAATTTGACGTTTGAAAGGGGGTGAAGGTACAGGTTCAACGCGTGTGTTTTTATCAACGCGCCCCGACGCCCCCCTCACTGGGAAGGGAGGGCAAATTGGGGCACTCGGGCTGGGCTGGGGCGGTTTTTGGTGGACGGTGCTCCCCTGCTGCGCCTCCATCCCGCGCCTCGGCCCCCTCGGGGGAGGCACGCCCCTCCGCGGGACGCAGAGGGACATACTGAAGGGGCCCAGGGACACACAAAGGAATACACACAAATAACAGAATTCCCAATATGTTCACATGTTTCCTGGGTTTTCGTCTTCCCCCCCACTTCTCATAGTTTCCATCCTTTCCTCAGGATCGACGATTAATTGTGTCTGTGTGGTTTCCCCTCCTGACATCCCGGTATCCGTCGGCCGGAAGTGGGCAGAAACATGAAGTAGGAAGGCGTTGGCAACAGATTGGGTTTCTGCCCGCACCCTGGAGGGGACGGAACAGGAAAGCCACTCGGTCGTTGGGAGTAGGAAGGCGGCCAAAAAAGATTGGGACCTGGGGACCCAAGAATGCCTACTTCCAACGACCGGCGTGTAAGTCCCAACGTGGGACGCAGAGAGAAGTACAGGTACCCGTCGGTCGGAAGAAGTGGGCAGAAACATAAACTAGGGAGGCGTTGGGAGTAGATTGGGCTTCCGCCCGCCCCCCTGAGATCGAGGGAAGCGGGCCAAAAAACGCTCGACCCTTGAAGCAGGAAGGCGCCTAAAGCAGATGCTGATCTCGGGATCCGAAGACACCTACTTTCAACGACAGGCGCGACCTGTGCGCCCCCCTTGGAGGCGCTCGTCCGAAGCAAACATATAGTACACATATCATGCAGTATATCGTTACCCACGCGATATGGCTAGAATCATGGGCCAACGTTCCACCACCACTACCATATGTAGGGCGGGGGAGAAGGGAGGATGGGGGTTCCTCCTTCTCCTTGTCCTTTTCCTCTCCTCCCCTCACCGTTCCTACCTATGATAGTGGTGGTGGAAAAGCTGTCCATCATAGCAAGCAACCGACACCGAGCATATACTGCAAAATGTACTTAGGCATCCTCTGCCTCGTTCTCCCCCCATCCCCAACTCCTCCGCCTCGCCCCCTCCCCCCATCCACCATTCCCAACGTGAGAAGCAGCCAATACTAGGACGGAGTAAGGCATCCTCCGTCTCAACCATCCTCCCAGTCCCCACGTGAATAAGCGCCCACACGATGGTCGACTGAAGCATACAATGCGAATGGGTGTGGGTGATGCTGACACCAGGCGGAGCCTCATGGCTCCAGCTGGATTCCACATCGCCCGAGAGGAGGCCTCGTCCAGCCAGATGCCCACCAGGTGGAGACCGTTCCTTGGGCCCCGACTGGACTTGCTCCAGCTGGGCTTGCCGCCCCTAGAACTGCGACGCAACTCCCATTTACCTGCTACAACGTGGACCCTCAGAGGTCCGGGCCACTTCCCCAGGACCGGCTGTTCGTCCCGAGGCACTGTTTGACGACCTCGGGACCTGGCCATGGCCCTCAGCGGCCGAACACTTCCTGATACCTCCCGTCGCTGTCTTTTCTCAACGAGGCGGTGGGGGTAGCGGCTAGCGTCAAGCCCCCCTCCGGTATCGATCGCCGCAAAGCTGCGCGGCTAAGCCTCCCCTTCCACTGCATGCGGCCAAAGGGGGAAGGGGGCACCTGCGCCCTCTCCCGCAGCAGGAGGAAGCTGACGCCCGTCGGGTACGCCCACAGATATCCGGCCCTGCCCCTTCTTCATCTCTCGCAAAAGAAGGGGGAAGAAGAGGGGGAAGAAAGAACACAATAACAAATTCACCAACGCCCTGCGGCTCGGCGAGGACCTCGGCGTGTGAGAGAACTGGCTGCCCCTCCCCGCTCTCCTCCCCCCGGAGCCCCGGTCCGGCCGACTTGGAGCGGGGGGTGGGGGGGGCAAAAGTGTCCTCTCCTTACCCCTCGCAGAAGAAGGCTCACTACCGCACCTATGCAGGCAAGGCCCAACCTGGCCTGGCCACGGGGGCATGCCGCCCAGGATCTGTGTATTTACGCCCTCCCGGGTTGGCCAAGGAGGCATGTGCGCCGATCCTGGGCAAAGTGTGGGCCTGGCCAGCGTCGTATGCAAAGTCCTCGTCGGTCGCCCAATGCTGTGCCGTGGCCGTGCGCGGCGCGGTGGGTGGTTATGGAGCTCGGAGCTGGTCGCAAGGGTGTCGTGCCGTGAGGTACCCTCACGGGGGTAGACTGTAGAAGAGAACAACGACATAAGCATAACTTCTGGCACTCCGCGCGGATTTCTTGGATCTGCGCTGGACCCCCTCTCTGGCGAGTGGAGCGCGCCAAAGGCGGCGCCGAAGGCGCCGCCGGGGAGGCCCCGCGCAGATCCAAGAAACCCGCGCGGAGCGACACAACTTTATGTGAATGACCATTTTTCCCCTTCGAGACTTACAGCTCCCCTGTCTTCTGCTGTCGTGGAGAATCTTGGAAGGGCGCCATTCTCGCTGCAGGGCTTGCGCGCGACCAACCTCGTTCACGCCCCAGCGGTCCTGACTCTGGGGCACGATCCTGTGGATTGGGCGCCCGAGTTATCCGGGGTAACTCGGGTCCAGGGTAACTCGGGTTTGGGTTCCCGAAAAACGAACCCGAGTTAGCCCTGACCCGAGTTACCCCTGATGATTCGGGGCTCTGGACGCCCGAGATATCCGGGGTAACTCGGGTCCGGGGTAACTCGGGTTCGGAATCCCGAAAAACGAACCCGAGTTATCCCTGACCCGAGTTACCCCTGATGATTCGGGGCTCTGACCAGCGGTCCTGCCTCTGGGGCACGATCCTGTGGATACGCCGTCGCATTGATACGTTCCGCGCGGGGCATCCGAATGTGGTCTAACCGATCCCCATCCCCGGCGGCAGGGCCCGGGCCCCACTGGCCGATTTGCCCCCCCCCCCCCCAGAGGGGGATATTGATCGTTACCTTCGAGCTTCGAGGGGTGTGTCCCCAACTGGGGTGGTACTTTGGTGCGGGTCTCGCAATGGATGGGGATGGGGATGGGGATTTTGCGCAGGGACCGACCGTCCCGGAATTTCTATAGGCCTACCACGACATGCTCTTAGAACCCACACATGCTCGAAGAACCAACCAGGTGTTCTGATGACCGAAGCCCGACGTGACAAAGCAAGACAGTCTCGGCCAGACATGCTCTGCGAAGATTCCGTGGACACCACAGAAGGTTCAGGCACGCCAGGACGCCTCGCCACTGCTTGCGGATTGGTCAAACGGCGCCGGGCTCCCGCGAAACAAAAAACACCCCGTAGCTATTCACGGGGGGCCGCGGCCCCGCGGCCTGGCCCGCAAAAGGGCAGCGGATGCTTGCTGATAACATGCTCCCTCCGGCCACGGGGGGGGCCCCGCCGCACGCCGTGCCGAAGGCTCCCCCGCCTCCCCTCTGTGATGGGCCTGTTCTCCACCACCACCACCATGAGTTGGAGGGAGGAAGGAGGTGGAGGACGAGGCGGAGGAAGACGAAGAGGAGGAGAAGAGGAGAAGGTGGAGGAGGAGGAGGAGGAGGACCCCCTCCCCCCTCCAACTTATGGTGGTGGTGTTGGAAAACAGGCCCACCACACTGCCCTCCTCTTCCAGCACACTCGCGTGCGGCGCGCACATACTTACAGGTTGGGGGGCACAACAAGGACGTACGCGCCCAACTGTGTGCACAAACACGGCCCCTCGACCCGCGAGACCAGCCGCGTGATACGAACGGTCGCGCAAGGCGACCTCTCGAAGCCAGCGTAGATGCATGTATGTCGTCCTTCTCTCGCTCCTGACAGGTATACGATGGCGAGTCACGCAAGACGGGCAAAGCCACACACACACACCTGGAAGGCCAGCATGGTAGGTCAGGGGCGCGCAAACGTGGATTAGCGATCCATGGATTTGGCGCGCGGTCGCCTCATCCATGGATCGGGCGAGGTGCCCTCCCCAAAATGCGGCCAGTGCCGCCTCGTGCGGCGGCTGAAATCCGCGATTTCCTATGCAGACGGGACCCGTCGCTAATCCACGCCCCCTTAATCAGTGTTTGCCATCGCCTGACAGACGCCGCCCACCTCCTCAGAAGCTCCCCCCGCCTCCTCGTGAGGTCCCCCACTCCGCGCCACGACCTCGTGCTCGCCGCCGAACAGCTATCTTCCTCCTCCTGCTCCTCCTCCTCCTCGTCCTCCTCCTCCTCCTCCTCGGTATTACCCATCGAGGGAGAAGCAGATGCATCGCCTGAGTAGGTCGCTGAACCGAACAACAACAAAAAAAACCAGCCCTGCCCCTCCCGCCCCCCGGGCCGCTGCACTGTCGTGAGCACGGTCACGTTCACGCTCTCGTCCGGGCCGAGTCCGGCATCCTGCGACCCGTCCCTGCTTCCCCTCCTCCTCCTCCCGCCCCTGCATCCGCAACCGCGCCTTGAGAACGCAGTGGAATTGTGCGTGTTGTAGGTTTCGAAGGCCGAAGGGATGTGGGCTTCCCGAGGGTTCTAGGCTTCCAAGGGTTGTGGGCTTCCAAGGCCGAGGGCTGTGAGCTTCCAAGGCCGAGCACCCGAGGGCTGTAGTGCTGAGCTGAGCACCCGAGGGCTGTGGGCTTCCAGGGCCGAGGAACCCGACTTGGAATTCTCGGGCGCTCGTTGGCGCGTCTGGGGCGTGCCCTGTTTGCTCCCTGCCCCCCCCCCCTCCCCGCCCTTCTAAAAACGATGTGTGCATAGATTCGAATTGACTGGACGGACTCCAATGGACTCCGTATGACTCCAAACGGTTCCGTCCGACTCCACATGCGACTCCACGGGAGTCCATACGACTCCATTGGGCTCAATTAGACTCCATTTGAATCCAGACGACTCCATAGGTCCACTGGACTCCACTGGACTCACAGGTGTTTCCATCGGACTCGATCGGCCTCCATCGGATTTCGAAAGACTCTTTTGACCTGCATTGGAATACATTGTACTCCCGCAGACCCACGTGGACATCATACGACGTCTTTGCCAGATCCAACATATCACTCCCCATACCCAATGGATCGATTGTCACGCCCAGGGAACCACTTGCTACACTTGATGAATACAATGCCATGCTTTCCCAGGTAATCATACCCTGGATCTTGCAGGGGAACAGAAGAGGGGCACCTAGACAAGATCTATGATCTAGGAGCTGAGCTAAAATAACTCCTCAGGCAAATGTACGTGGAGACATGTCCCCCTCCCTACATGCGGATTGTAATCAACAAATCCTAAACACCCCCAACATATTCAAACATAATCCAAAACTCATAGAGACATCATCCCCATACCATGTTTGCACTATTTTTGAATATTCGTCCTGGTGCATGGGACCTTTTCCGCGCAAGACGACCCCAAGACACCCCGCAAGCAAGCTCTCAAGAGATCCCAAGTCGCCCGGGAAGGCCGCTATGGGGAAACCGAGAGGTACCGATACCGCTACTTCCTGGACATCTCCCGGGGTGCGTTCTGACCAGGATTGCGAGGCGCATCCAGCGGTGGCGACGAGGGCCTCCCAGGAGGCCCAAGAAGGGGAAGACGGGCGAAGGATACCGGCATCGGCACCTTTTCCTCCACTGAGCTTGGGCCCGAAACTGGCCACCAAGGAGTCCACGAGGCCTCCAGCACGGATCCAGTTCGGGGGCACGCAAACGTGGATTAGCGATCAATGGATTTGGCGCGCGGTCGCCAAATCCATGCATCCGAAAAGTGCCCTCCCCAAAATGCGGCCGGTGCCGCCCCGTTCGGCGGCGGGGATCCGCGATTTCCCATGGAAACGGGACCCGTCGCTGATCCACGCCCCCTTGATCCATGTTTGTGATCGCCTGACATCCGCGATTTCCCATGGAAACGGGACCCGTCGCTGATCCACGCCCCCTTAATCCATGTTTGTGATCGCCTGACCTGTCCACGACCCGAGCATGGTGGCGGGCTGGGCCGACACCCCACTCCTTCGCGCGACCTGGCGGCTCGCCCACGGGGAGGGTTTTTCGCGAGGGGGGGCGGTCTTCCAAGACAGGGGGGCTGCTTAGAAGGCAGGGGCCTTCCTGGAAACGCCCTGGGTGCTCCTAGAGGTAGGCCGGGCATGTCCTCCTACAGGCGGATTGTGGGGGACAGCCAGACATAGCTAAAACACATAGAAAAAAGTCAACATACTCAAAACATCGCCCCCGTACTATATATATGACTATGTTTGAATACTCCTCATGACTATGTTTGAATACTCCTCCTGTAGATGGCCGTGCCCGACATTGTCCTAAGGAGACCTCTCAGACGCCAGGAGTCGGGAGCGCGCAAACATGGATTAGCGATTCATGGATTTGGCGCGCGGTCGCCAAATCCATGCATCGGGCGAGGTGCCCTCCCCAAGATGCAGCCAGTGCCGCCTCGCTCGGCGGCGGGAATACGAGATTTCCCATGGAAACGGGACCCGTCGCTAATCCACGCCCCCTGAATCCATGTTTGCGATCGCCTGACAGACGCCGGGAGAACTTCTGAGACGCCGCCCGCCTCCGCAGAAGCTCCCCCCGCCTCCTCGTGAGGTCCCCCCCTTCGCGCCACGACCTCGTGCTCGCCGCCGAACAGCCATCCTCCTCTTCCTGCTCCTGCTGCTCCTCCTCGTCCTCCTCCTCCTCCTCCTCCTCGGTATTACCCATCGAGGGAGAAGCAGATGCATGAACCTGCACTTTCGTGGCTCCACGCAGATTCCTTGCATCTGCGCTGGGTCCCCCTGGGGGCGGCTCTGGAGCCGCCCCTGGCGCGGACCAGGAAAGGGGATACAACGCTGATCCAAGAAATCCGCGCGGACCACCAACTTATGTTTTTCTAACTTCGAGCATCGTTTAACCGATCCCTATCCGCACTGGCGTGGCCTGGGCCCCACTTGCCGATTCACCCTCGAGATGGAGATATAGGCGGCTCCCTTCGGGCTTCGAGGGGCATATCCCCAACAGTGATACAGCGCAGCCGGGCAGACGGTCCCTAGTGCAAGTCTGGAGGAGCAAATCGCGGAGTAAGCATAACTTCTAGAAGGTCCGCGTGCATGTCTTGGAGCGGCGCCAGAGGCACCGCCCAGGGGGCCCAGCGCGGATCCAAGATATCTGCGCTGAGCTCAGGAAGTCCAGAAGTCTCGCCCACCTCTCTAGGGCCGATTTTTCGTACCGAGTCCTTTTTTGACGGCCCCGAGGCCCGGCGAGGGCCCCTGGAGGCAGAAAACTGCCCAAAAGCGCCTGCTCCCACATTTTTCGGAGCGGCGGATCTTTGAAAATGATTATGCCGCCTTCTGAGAAGCAGCCTCCTTCTAAGAAGCCTTCTCCCTTCCACCGGACCCGCCTCTGCGCATGGCCGCCTATTGTTAGGAAACAACTCCTGGGAGGCCTTCATGAGCTACATAATCATTGAGCTGGGTTTGGCCCGATCGAGCCCGAGAGGCAGAGGACTTAATCAGGCGACTTTCAGCCGCTAGACTTGGCCTGCTGAAGTCGGTCTCCGACCACGGGCAATGCAGCATGACGAGTAATAAAAAGAATGGGGGAACGATTAAAACATAGTTGTGTTGATTCCTATGTGATTTTACACGGGAGGAGGACGATTAAAACATATGTCTATAGTATGTCGGCTTCAAATATTGCGTCGAATACTCATTCACGTCGCCGTCAATACTCACGCGTCGAATATTCATCTTGCGTCGAATACACGTCACGTCGAATACTCATCTTGCGTCGAATGCTCGTGACGTCGAATATATTCATCTTGCGTCGAATACTCATTCCGGGCGCGCCCGAGGACGGCAGGGGGGAGCGATCACAAGATTAGCTTCCCAACCCGCGGCTGTTTTTTCCTAATCATCCTCCGGGGCGCCGCCGACGCAACACGACCCCCTGTCATTTCTTCTTCACCATTATCTTACATTGCACCGCTGCCGATTTTGAATCTAGCCTCCCACGAGTTGCACCTCGACTGGTGGAGGGTCGCCCAGGGTGGCCTCCGTGGCACACGGCAGCAAAAATCTCGCCCCTCTCGGGCCGCCCCCGGGAGCCCGCCCCATGAAGTATCCGTGAGCTCCCAACTGGCCAAGATGAAGGGGCCCAGGGACACACAAATAAACACACACACAAATCCCAGGATTCCCATATTTATCCATATTCTGTTGGATTCTAATATTCCCCCCCACTTCTCATGTTTTCGCACATTCCCCTGGGGATCGACGACTACTTGTGTCTGTGTGTATGTGTGTGCTTTCCCTCCTGACAAGCAAGGTTTTCCTTTTTCGTTTTTTTTTATACATGTTTTACTGGATTTTCCTCTTCCCCCCCACTTCCCACATGTCCCTGGGGATCGACGATTACTCGTGCCCGTGTGTGGGTGTGTTTTCTCCCTCCCGACAAATGCAGGGGCCGGAGGGGGCCCCGCCCGCCGGAGGCCTGCCCTCGCCTCCTCCCGCGGCCCTTGCGAGGGCAGGGGCAAACGACAGACGACCCCAGCTATGTGCTGTGTTCAGGTCGGGCCCGTCCCCCTACAGGAGGATTTTGAGCGAAATAGTGGGAAGAAACTCCGCAACACAATAAAAGATGGTGAAACAAAACTCGTCTCCATATTATGTTTGACTATTTTTGAATATGCCCCCTGTAGAGGAACAGGCCCGACTTAAAGCTGTGTGCTATGTGCCACGTGCGTCTGGAGAGCCTCTGCTGCCTTTCCGTTCCTGTCGGCCCAGCAGACCCGAACGGCAACGTGCGGTGGGGACCGGCCTAATTAGGGGTGGGGGGGCATCGAGCGCACCTCGGCGATACATCACTCGGGGATGGACAGAACCCCAAGGACCGACCACAACGATGTTTAAAACGAAATGGCGTTGACAACGGAAAACGAAACGAGGCCCGACCTTTAAAACGAACGTTTAAAACGAAGCTGGTGCCAAGCGAAAACAAACGACGAAACGGGGCGGTTAAAGCAACAACGAAAAACGAAACGAAGCAACAACGAAAAACGCAACGAAACACAAAACACGAGCCCAAACCAAGTTAAACTGCGTTGTGGTTGGTCCTTGCAGAACCACCTTTAGTAAAAAGTGGTTTCGTGAAAACGATCTCGGGCCCAACCCTGGCGGGCGCAAGCCTGGAAAATGAGGGCCGCGGCGCCACCTCGGGAACCGGAAACGAACAATTCACTAATCGATGCGTCAGGGTGGGGGTTCTGTCCACCCCCGACTATAACAAATCCGAGCGTTCCTGGGCGGGGTGGTCATCAGGCCCCTGTGAATCGGCGATAGGGGGTCGATCCATTGCCCCCATGATCGGCCGTGGACAAGCCTCCCTTAAATAAACCACCCTTTAGTGAAAACGGCCTAGGACCGAAACCGACGGACCTGGACTCGCAAAAATGACGGCCACGACGCCCTCTCGCGAACCGAAAACGGCCAAGTCTCCAATCGACGTGTCAGGGCAGGAGATCTATCAACCTCCGACATGAGCCGAATTCTACCCCTGACGTTGCCCACGACTCGGGCGTTGCGAGAAGTGCCCCTGGCCCAAGGTGCCCCCCAGCTTTCGCTCCATCTTGGAGCCCCCAGGGCCCTCTGGGCCTCGTGAGGGGTGCCCTGAAGGCCGTCGGGGCCACCCCGAGAATCCTGGGGATACCTTAGGTCGAGTGTACTTCTGGCAACCCCCGAACGACGCGCGGGATTCTTCGTGGTATTGATGGTCCCGTTCCCGGACCTTGGCTTTCGACGTGCGAGCGTGCCCCTGCGTGAGAGATCTCCGGGGGGGGGGGCGCAAGCCTCGGCCCACCGCTGGAGAAAAGCGACCCGGACCCGAAGATGTGGGTTGCCGCACTGGTGCGCCAATGTGTTGAGGACATTCGCCCCCGTGAGAAAAGACTGCGCTGAGAAGGCACTCGATCCTTCAACGACCTCCTTCGGGTAGAGACCTCGTGGCAAGACCCCCCCTGCCTTCCCGAGCGAAACCGGGGGGCGCTCCTCGGCGGCGCTGGCCAACTGCACGCTCCGTGGCCCATTGTACTCCAGCCAAGAGCACCCGTCAAGCGTCGCAGCCTGGGGGGCCGGCGGGAAAGAGCATCGAACCACGCCCAGATCAAACATGAACATCAGCCCGTCTCCTGGGCGATGCGACACGCAAGCCAGAACACTCGGCAAGACGTCGAGCGCGGAGCAAGACAGAGAAGCAGCGACGAGACAGACGAAAGCGCACAAGGGAGGGGGGGCACAACGCAGATGTAAGACACCCGCCCAGGACCTTCGAAAGTTGATGCTTATGCCGTTATCGCAGTTCGGCAGATACGGAGTGCAGGTTCGCTTCCCGCGTGCCATGGGGGGCGGGGGGGGGGGATAGTTAGCTGCGCCCCAAGCCACGCCTGTCCGTGGGGGTGGCCGGCATCGCCGAGGCGGGGGCGTGAAGCGTCAGCGGCGGGACGCTGGCTGGACAGTGGAGGTAGCGGACCACACATCTCGGCGGCGGGCAAGGGGAAGAAGTGAGAAGGAGCAGGCCTTTCCAGAAGGCGGCGGGACTTCTCAGGAGCCCTCGCGCCTGACGAGACGTTTTCTGCGTCTTCGGCTGGGGCCCAGAAAAATTCCACAGAAGGCCGGGGGACTTCCGAGCCTCCTCCTCCTCCTCCTCCTCCTCCTCCTCCTCCTCCTCCTCTCGAGAAGGCCCGCCCCTTCTCACTTCCCCCCCTGGGCCTGCCGCCGAACATCTGCACAAAGCACAGACTCTCGGAGCTCCGCGCGGATTTTCTGGGATCGGCCCTGGAGCCCCACTCCAGGGCACGCGGAGCGCGCCAGCGGCGGCGCAGCTGGGGTGGGGGGCCCGGCGCCGATCTCCAAGACACCCGCCTGGACCTCCGACGAGCTTCTGCCTGTGCCGGCTTCAACTGGACACTGAGGTAAGACGAAGCCGGGACGAGGATGAATCCGGGTGAGGAGGAATCGGATCTCTGAGATCAGGCGGCTCTCGGGTATGTCTCCGGCGCCGCGGCCCGGCCTTCCCAGAGAGTTCTGGAACGCTCAGAGCGTTCGGGAACGCTCTGCGAGCGTTCTGGAACGCTCTGGAACGGATTCATCCCCGTCCTAGCCCCATCCGATGAAGGCACGCCAGGACAGAACTGTTTGCAGCGTGAGCACCCTTCACTCGGGGGCGGCCAAGAGGGGGGTGTCCAAGAGGGGGGGGTGCAAATCATGGCTGGCGGCATGTGCGCGGCCCAGGGGGGGCCAGGGAACGCATTGAAATAAGAAGAGGCGTCATGAAATCTGGGAAAATATCATGGCCACCGCCATGATATCCCCCCCCCTGGTCATCCCCCCCCTCGTTGCCGCACCCGATCCATTGGCGGCGTCGAAGGCCCAGTCCCTGAGCGCCCACTGGGCAGAGGCAAGACGCCTGGAAGGCAGGCCGGCGCCAGAGCGGCCGGGAAGGTGCGACGAAGAGAGAGAGAGAGAGAGAGAGGGAGGAGGAAAGAGGGAGGAAAGATAGAAGTAAGGGGAGGAAAGAGGGTGGTCAGTGGGAGGAAAGAGGGAGGAAAGAGGGAGAAAGGGAAGGAGGAAAGAGGGAGGGAAGAGGGAGGAGAAAAGAGGGAGAAGGAAAGACAGAGAGAGAGAGAGAGACAGAGGGAGGAAGAGAGAGAGAGAGAGGAAAGAGAGAGAGAGAAAGGAGGAACGAGAGAGAGGAGAAAGAGAGAGAGAGACAGATAGGGGGCCACATGCGAATCCTGACCCTACCCCCCCCACACGATTTCATAGGGGGAGGGTGGGGTAGGATTCGCATGTGGCCCCCTAACAGAGAAGGGAAAGAGGGAGGAGTGGCAGTCGCAGCTCACCACCGCCCCAATCCAGGGCCGAAAAGGGGAATCAGAAACATACGGATGTCGCTATACGCCGGTCGGAAAAAAATGGTAGAAACATGAAGAAGGAAGGCGGATGAAGTAGATTGGGTTCGGGCCCGCCCAATGAATAGCAAACAACAACTAAAACATATCGATTCTTGAAGCAAGAAGGCGCTTGAAGCAGATGGGGTCTGGGGAATCCTGACATGCATCCTTTCGATGACTGGCGCGTCCTCCCCAGACCATTCCCAGGATACTTCCGGACCGGGATCTCAAAGACGAGCCACGCTCCATCATGGAAGTGGTTGCAGACTTTCAGAAGAGTGTGTGTGTGTGGTGCTCAGACGAGGGCCACGTTTTGAGCACGACGCGCCCTCCGTCCTTGAAGCTTCTGTCGAACTTTGAAGACGAATGTGCGCGGCGCTAGGGCGAGAGCCACGTTTTGAAAAGCGACGCGGCGGCGAGGGCCCCCCAGGAGGCCCAAAGAGGCGAAGGCGAGGCAGCGGCAGCGGCACCGCCACCCCAGCGGCGCGCACAAGGGGGTCGCGCGAGGTGGGAGAGCCTTCCAAAGAAGGCGGCGCGCTTCCTGGAAAGCCAAGAGGTCTTCTCAGAGGGTCCTTTCCTGTCCAAGGCGTTTCCTTTCCAAGAGGTCTTCTCAGAAGGCGCTTCCTTTCCTTACAAGGCGTTTCCTTTCCTTCCTTGGAAAGACAAGAGGTCTTCCACAAGGCGTTTCCTTTCCAAGATGGTCTTCTCAGAAGGGCCTGGAAGCTTCTGAGGCCTCTGGGAGAGCTTCCGAGATGGGCCCCTGCCCTCTTAGAAGCTCCCCCGCCTTCTGAGACGGCCGCCCCCCTCGCGCTTCGGCCCTTGTACGCGCCGCCGAGATTTGGCAGCTCCCTCTCCTCCGAGCCGAGCCGACGTCGTCGTCGTCGTCGTCGTCGCCGCCGTCGTCGTCGTCGTCGTCGTCGTCGTCGTCGTCGCCGACATCGTCGTCGTCTGGAGGGGCGGCTGTCGTCGTCGTCGTCGTCGTCGTCGTCGTCGTCGAGCTCTGGCCCCGCTCTCAGACCCCCGAGGGACCCCAACCGCACGGCTGACTCAAAACCTGGGCGCGCCGCCGCCGAGCGTGGCCCTCGCGCCAGGGCCCTCGGAGGCCGGGGGTGGGAGTTCCCCGGACCCTCCTGGGAAAAAAACCCTGAACCCCCCTCGGGAGGGGGCTCTTGGACGGGTTTTCCCAAGGGGAGGGGGGGACCCGAGGTTTGGGAATGTTTTGAGAAGTTTCTGGGGCGCGAAGCTCGGAAACAAGATTATAGTCAAAACGAGCCGTGAACCCCCCCCCTTCAGGTGGGGTTTTGCGCCCCACCCCCCCGCTGGAAAAGCCTCCCTTCAAGGGAGTTTTGGGGGGGTTAGGGGGTGGTGGTGGCCGTCGGGCCCACGCCCTCGGCGAGGCGCAGCTGCTGGAAAGCACCCCGAGGCTGGAAAGCAGCCTGGAACCGACGAAGACGCCCGAAAACCTGAAGCCTCGAAAGCCAACCCCCCCCCTGATCCGATCCCACCCCTGACGTTGCCCCTGAACGGCGACGGCGGCTGCTTGCGATGGCTGTGCCGATGTGCCTGCGCTGACGAACGAACAACACACGCCCATACCAATAGGAGGGTCGTTGGGAGGAGGACTGGCTATGGGTATGGATGCGGGTTGTCGGACCCCAGGGATGGCTTCCGTTCGAGCGGGGACCCCCATCCGACAACACGAACCCATAGCCCTCTCCGACCCTCCTATGGGTATGGTGTGTGTTGTTGGTTCATCATGCACTGCGTCCTTGGAAAACCGCCTGCATCTGGGGACAGCCAAAAGGCACCGACGCCGCCACTCCTCTGACCTCTCCCCCGGGGCGTTTCGACAAGAGCTTCGAGGCGGAGGGCAGGAAGCCTTGGAAGCGACAGGGTCAGGTCGGGCATGTCCCCCTACAGGCAGATTTTGGAAGAAAACTGAAAAAAACAGTCAGAACAGATTCCAAAAATGTTGAAAAAATACCAGAATCATCGTGCCCTGACTATTTTTTACTATTTTTGAAAATTCCTCCTGTAGAGGGACACGCCCGACTTAACGACAGGGCCGTCTTTACCCAGTTTCGTTCTTCAATCTTCCGTTCTGGCTCCGTCGCCGCTTGCTTTGCCTGTCGGTCCCGTCGCCGTCTCTCTTCTCGTGCTGGGCATGGCTCGGAGCCCGGCCCAGTGGTGGTTGCAGTTGCGGTGCGCAGCTTGCTCGTGAACGTTTTTGTTTATCCCGCGTTTCGACACTGGGCGAAAGGGGGGGAGGGGGAGGGGTTTGGCTCCGGACCTCTGCTTAGTGCGACTGCTTAGAACCGTGGGTCCTGTGGGGGAGACTCCACCTGCTCGAAACAGGCGCCAAAAACAGACAGGATCTATACTCCATGGCGGGGGGGGTAGGGGGGGATGCGAGGGCCAGCGCCGATCGGCAAAACAATGAAGAAGAAAACGACGACTTCCCCAAACGGTGCTTGCGCTAAGGGGTTCTCGCTTGTCTTCTAAGGACCTGGGCCTGAGTGCTGGTCTGGCGGCTCCATGGTCGCCGTCGCCGCCCCCCGTTGCCGCCTCGTCGCCGCCCGTCGTCTGGACCTGGGTGCCGGACTGGCGGCTCCGTGGTCCCCGTCGCCGCCCTGTCGCCGCCCTGGACTGCACCGCACCGATTGCACTGCATAATTTCCATGCACCGCAAAGAATGCACTACACAGATTGCACAACAGAGGTTGCACCGCATATATTGAACAGCGTATGTTGCCCCACATAGATTGCACCACATCGACTGCACCACATCCACTGCACAACCTGGATTGCTAGAAACGAACTGTTGGGGGTTCCACGGTGGCTACCATTGTTTTCATGGTTTCCATGCTCAAACGAATTATTTCTTGAACATACTGGTTTCTAGAATGCAAACCAGAAGAAAGCACGGACCTGCTGCTTCCACGTCCAACTGAGGCGGGAGGGTGTAGATGTCATGAAGGCATTGCCTCAGGATGCGTCTCTGGAGTTCAATCATATATCTAGCGGCCCTCGTTTCTGCAGCGCGTGTGAAGCGTGAGAAAATCTGGAAAATACTGGAAATCATGGAACATCTCGTCATTGATGGTATCAGTGAGCGAACGAGGACACCCCATCCCCACTTGGCTCCATCCCCAGGGGGGTGGCGTTGGGGGCGGAGTACTTGTTGGGTCCCTCTTGCAACACATCCTCGCAATCGGGCCCCGCAGCTCGATGGCTCGGGTCAGATGGGAGTGGTGAGGCGATTTCTTTCCCCAGTCGGGAGCGGCCAAGAGGGGTGCGTCCAAGAGGGGGGGGGGGGGGGGGGGGGGGGGGGGGGGGGGGGGGCAAACCATGGCCGGCGGCATGTGCGCGGCCCAGGGGGGGGAGGCCAGGGACGTAATGAAATAGGAGGAGGCGCCATGAAATCTGGGGAATTATCATGGCCCCCGCCATGATATCCACACCCCACAGTCATCACCCCCCTCTTTGCCGCTGCCGCTCCAAAGAGGCGCGAATACTGGGCTAGAAGAAATACAACAAGAACATGAACATAAACTTTCGACGGTCCGCGCGGGTTTCTTGGATCCGCGCTGGGCCCCCTCCCTGGCGCGCGGAGCGCGCCAAGGGCGGCGCCAGAGGCGCCGCCGGGTGGGCCGCTGCGGGAGCGCCAAAAGTTTATGTTGATAGCGATTTGTTTTCTTTGAAGATGGGGGAGGTGATGCGGTTTCTTTCCCCAAGGAGGCGCAAATACTGGGCGGAAGCCGCCGGCTCGCCGGCTGGGCACGGCAACAAAGGGAGGGCCCCCGAAAGTCGATCCTCCAGGCGGTGGTCATGTGTCAATTCCCCCCTTCGGGAGATGGGGGCGGTGACGCGAGCTCTTTCCCCAAGGAGGCAACGAATACCGGGCGCGGCCAAGAGGGGGGTGTCCAAGAGGGGGGGGTGCAAATCATGACCGGCGGCATGTGCGCGGCCCAGCGGGGAAGCCAGGGACAGAATGAAATCAGAAGAGGCGCCATGAAATCTGGGGAAACATCATGGCCCGCGCCATGATATCCACCCCCCCCCCCCTAGTCATCACCCCCCTCTTTTCCGCCCCCGAGAATACCGGGCGGGGGACGCCGGCCTGGAACACGGCAAAGCAAGGGAGGGTCCTCGCCGCTGCCTGGGCGGGCCAGGCGCGGCCACGCAGAGAGGGAAGAGCGGGCGGTGGTCATGTGTAAACTCCCCCCCTCGGAAGATGGGGGCGGTGACGCGAGCTCTTTCCCCAAGCAGGCAACGACTTCCGGGCGGAGGACGCCGGCCGGGAACGGCACAGAAAGGGAAAATCCTCGCCGCTGCCTGGGCGGGCCAGGCGCGGCCACGCAGAGAGGGAGGAGCGGGCGGGCGGACCTCGCCCACGGAGCCGCCCGCGTGGCGGAAGCGGGAGGCCAGGATGCACGTCTGCGCCGCCGAGCCCTGAGCTGGGGGAGGGGAGGAGGAGGAGGAGGAGGAGGAGGAGGAGGAGGAGGAGGAGGAGGAGGAGGAGGAGGAAGAGGAGGAGGAGGAGGAGGAGGAAGAGAAGGAGCAGGAGGAGGAAGGGGGAGGAGGAGAGGAGGAGGAGGAGGAGAGGAGGAGGAGGAGGAGGAGGAGGAGGAGGAGGAGGAGGAGGAGGAGGAGGAGGAGGAGGAGGAGGTGGAGGAGGAGGAGGGGGGGTGCGAACTGATATGCAAATCTGGAGCAGTCAACAACTGACGTGACATGTCGCAAGTAATGAATAGGAGGAAGAAACACGCCATACACATAAGCTTTTTGCGCTCCGCGCCAGAGGCGCCGCCAGGGGGCCCAGGCGCGGATCCAAGACATCCGCGCGGAACGCCGAAAGTTTGTGTTTACGTTCTTCTTCTTCGACAACAGTCAACAACTGCCAAGGCATGTCGCAAATCATGAGAGCGTGGGCCCTCCACACAATCGCTGCCTGAACCACCTCCGCCCGCTTTGCCAAACACCAGGCTTGCCAACCCGCCTCATGGGAGCCGTAGAGAGCGAACAGGCTGTAACATCGAATGCGAACAGTGCTGTTAGTGCGGGCTGAATTGCACGATTGCGCGAAAACTATATACATATATCTATATATATATATATATATATATATACATCCCCCCCCAAACGAAATCATACGGATTCTAGCGATGCGCTTGCACGTGGCTGAATACACGTAGGACCACGCTCTTCCCCGAACCGTGCTCACTGGCACCTCGACGCGCGGTGCACTGCGAAACGCTGCCTGGCAGAGTTTCTGGCAGTCTGTTTTGCCCCTCCATCTCTCCACACGCTTACTCTTACGTCGGGCCCGTCCCCTACAGGAGGATTTTGGACGGAAAACAAGACATACTCAAAAAAACATCTAGCCAACAAATAATCAAAACATCGTCCCCGTGCTATTTAGTTTTAACTATTTTTGGATGCTTGTCCTGTAGAGGGAGAAGCCCGACTTACGCTTGCTCGCGTGAGTTGCCTCTCTCCCCCACGAGGCTCCCTGGGCGGTCCCTGGCGCCGAGGCCGCCGAGGTGGCACAATAGTTTGCCTCAGTGGGCACCGAAGAGCAGCCCCGAAGACGACCCCAGGACACGCCAAAGAGACTCCACCCCAGACATGATCGCGTCATAAAAACAAATCAGGACTGGAGGTTTTGAGCTATTTTCGGCCCGGGGGGGGCCCTCGCCGGGCCTCGGGACGGTCAACAAACGACTCAGGACCAACAAATCGGCCCTGGGAAAAGGGTCGGGGCTTCCAGGGGACGCCGGCCTGAGAAGATCAGGACGTCGCACTCGCCATCGCTCGGACGTCCGCTCCCTGTGTTTTTTTCCGTTTCGTGCGCGGTTTTCTCGCCAAAGGATCAAGGATGCTCCTCGAGGGTCCTCGCCGAAGGAAAAGATGCACACGTCCGAGCCCTGCCAAGCGCAGGTCCGGGGCTGGGTCGCCAGACCTTCGCCCGCGCGGCGCGGCGCGCGCGGCTCTTCGCGCCCTCGCGTCGCCGCCCCGGAGAGGGGCGCCCCCCTTCCAAGGCTCTCCGACCCAGGCGGCGATGCGCGAAGCTTTCGGAGCCAGGCCATCTTCGCGACCCCCTCGAGCAGACTGGCTCCAAAGTTAACGCAGGGAAGGCCAGGAGGCCTTCCGGGGAGGCCAGACTCACCCCCCCAAAACCGAGCAACGCGTGGGTATGTCTGCGTCTCGTCGGCATCAGATGAGGCCACTGCTCCTGCTTCTCCTCCTCCTCCTCCTCCTCCTCCTCCTCCTCCTGCTCCTCCTGCTCCTTCTCCTCCTCTTCCTCCCCCTGCTCCTGCTCCTGTTCCTGCTCCTCCTCCGCCTCCTCCTCCTCCTCCTGCTCCTGCTCCTGCTCCTTCGTCCCTCCCCTTGCTTTTCTTATTATTCCTCCCTCCCCTCCTCCTCCTCCTCCCCCTCCCCCCGCAGGGAACTGACCAAAACGCCCGACCACTCGCCTCAAACTCTCAAACTGTCGTTGCCTCAACTCGCCCTCCTCCAACAAGGGTCACAATTGCGGGGGAATCCAAAAGGTACCGATGCCGCTACTGCCCGGACCTCTCCCGGGGTGCGCCCTGACCAGGATTTCGAGGCGAATCCAGCGGTGGCGACGAGGGTTCCCAGGGAGGCCCAGAAGGGGCAAAAACGAAGCTAGGGTAGCGACATGGGTACCTCCTCCTCCTATTCCTCTTCCTCCTCGTCCTCCCCCTCCTCCTCCTCGTCCTCCTCCTCTTCCTCCCCCTCCTCCTCCTCCTCTTCCTCCTCCCCCTCCTCCTCCTCCCCCTCCCCAGAAGCCCCTCGCGGCGTCAGGGGTCGGGCCTCGTCGTCGTAACTCAGCTGGACGTCCAGGCTGACAGCGTCGGAGGGCAAGACCTTCAGCGCCGGGTCGCCGCTGACGTGCACGATCGAGCTGCCGTGGTTGAGCACCGTGGCCTGCGCTGCCGGCTCACAGGACAAGGCGAAGACTCGGAGGCAACTCCTGGGAGGAGGAGGAGGAGGAGGAGGAGGAGGAGGAGGAGGAGGAGGAGAGGAGGAGGAGGAGGGGAGGAGGAGGAGGGGAGGAGGAGGAGGAGGAGGAGGAGGAGGAGGAGGAGGAGGAGGAGGAGGAGGAGGAGGTGGAGGAGGAGGAGGAGGAGGAGGAGGAGGAGGAGGAGGAGGAGAAGGAGGAGGAGGAGGCTATGAGGCCGTACGTCGTCCACGGAGCATGGTTCGGGGGCCAGCGAGCCCGATTCGAACAGCTTTGAGCTCGAGAGGGGCGCGAATTCATGGGGGGATAGGTGGAGGAGGGGGAGAAAGGTGCCCCTTTCGGGCCCGAAGTGCCCCCTTTGGGGCCCGAAAGGGCCCCTCTAGCAGTCCTGAAGGGCCCCTTTTCGGCAACCATCGCTGCCCCCTCAATGATAGCTCCCACGTTGCGCGCGGCCCAACCGAGTTGAAGCCCGAGTGCGCGGGATTCAGCTGTTTTTGTTTTTTGTCATTCTGGGTTTCGACATTTGACCGAAGGGTGGGGGAAGGGTGGGTTCTATCTTGCTCCCATCGTACTGAAGGATCACATCCCATAAGTAATTCCGAGCACCCAGAAAAGTGTCGAAAGAGTGTCGAAGCAGTGTCGAAACAGTGTCAGGCGCATGTCTCCCAGGGCCCGACACGTGAAAACCGTCGAATTTGGGTGTATTTTTCTGGTGCTCGAGCTTCTCTCTGGTGGTCACGGATCGAATAAGATGGAACATCATAACTGGAGTTCTGGGTCTGGGCTGGTGCTCAGTGGATCTGTTTTCGGCGGTGGACAAACCTCCCTTTTAGCAAACGTCCCCTCAGTGAAAACGGCCTGGGACCGAAACCGACGGACCTGGACCCGCAAAAATGACGGCCGCGACGCCCTCTCGCGAACCGAAAACGGCCGATTCACGAATCGACGTGTCAAGGTAGGAGGTCTGTCCACCTCCGATGTTTCTACGAGCCACGCAAGCACTCTGGGAGGGGAGGGAGGCCCGACCTTGTCGCAAAAAAGTAGCAGCACAAAGCAGCCGAGATCTGGTCTGCGCGGGGGGGCGGGGGGGGAAGGGGCCGGGGGGCCTCGCGGGTCGCTGAAGCAACACAACATTTCAAAACAGCAATAACAACAACGACGACAACAACAGCAACAATCACAACAAAAAAACAACAACAACAACAACACCAACAGCAGCAACAACAACAACAGCAACAACAACAACAACAGTCACAACAGTAACAACAACAGTAACAGCGACGACAACAACAACAACACCATCAAGCACAACAAACACAACAACAACAACAACATTAACAACAGCAACAACAACGACAACAACACCAACACCACCAACAACAACAACGACAACAGCACCAACAACAACAACAACACATGTACCCTCATGCGCGATGTTTCCACACGAGGCATGCGACAATCATGATAACCATCCCCATCATGACCATGGGGGAAGATTGTTCTATAGCGGGGTCCGTTATTCCCGTTCCCAGATCTCCCGCCCAATGAAATCTTGCAAACACCTCCTCCAGGGAATTTCAACATATCCCGCCTCGAAAACGCATGCCCGCGCCTTGCTGGGCCGATGCGAAACCGCCAGTGGAGCCCCAGCCAAGGGTAAAGCACAAGGAAACATCGAGCGACAAGATTGCCTTGGTGGGGATGCGGGCTGTCGGCGACGAGGCAAGGACCCGGCCCCGCATAGAAAGGGGGGAAGTCTCAGGCAGGGCCGCTGTTGTTGCTGGGAGCGGCGCCAATGCTGAAGAGAGTAGGGCGCTAGTCCAGCGTAAAACAAAACGAAATTTCGAGCGGAAGCGCCACCAGAACGCCGCCGGGGGTGAACGCCCACTATTATCGGCGGTGGACAAACCTCCCTTTAGTAAACCTCCCTTTAATGAAAACGGCCTGGGACCGAACCCGACGGATCTGGACCCGCAAAAATGACGGCCGCGACGCCCTCTCGCGAACCGAAAACGGCCAATTCCTTAATCGACGTGTCAGGGTAGGAGGTCTGTCCACCCCCGATACTAGGTGCCTCCCCGTGCCCTGTCCACACGCGGACGCGTGCGAACACCGCGACTGGGGCCGTCGATGGCGCTCCCTGTGGAGCCGCGAAACGTGTGAAGGGTGTGCCGAAATAGGCGGGGCGGACGTATGCGAACACCGCCACGGAAGCCTTCGGTGGCAGTGGCGCCCCATATGGGGCCACAAAACATGTTCAGGGGTGTGCCGGCATGTGCAGGTTGGGCGTATGCGAACGCAGCCACTGGGGCCTTCGGTGGAAACCCCTGTGGGGCCACGGCGCGTATGGGGAGTGTGCCGACATGGGTGCGGTGGGCGCATCCGAACGCAGCCATTAGGGCCTCGGTGGAGCTCTGCATGGAGCCACGACAAAGTGTAAGGGGCGTGCCGAAATGGGAGGGGGGAGGGGGAGGAGGAGCAGGAGGGGGCAGCTGGAAGGAAGGAACGCGGGGTGCTGAAACGAAGACCCAACACCACAGCTTGGTTGGGTAAATCAAGTCCCTCTCCCCCCGAGGAAGCGGAACAACTTCTATGTTCTCGCTGGGCAAAAAAATGCCGCGCGAAGAAAAATCCACCACTGGGTGTCTCCCCGTGGTCCCCCTCGCCACTCCCCCCCCCCGCCCCCCCCCCTTCGCCCGCGGGCGGCGGCCGCGCGGGCCAAATAAGAAAGGGGACTGGGGAACAAAACAAAACAGGTCCCCCCCTGGGGCGGGGACGGACGACAAACACAGCATGGCCGAAAATCCATTGGGCAGAGCCCCCCCCCGAACCCCTCCCACTCCCCACGTCCCCCCGCGGGGCGGCCGACCGGGACAAATCACAGGGAACTCGGGGAATTGTAGTTTTCTCATGGGGGCGGGCTTAAATCACAACGCGCGTGACATCCCATGACTTGGCGCATCCGGAAAGCCCCTCACGACCTCCCGCCCGTCGCCTTTCCCCCCGACCCCAGGTGGGCGAGTATGAAATAACAAATACAAACAAGCAGGAACATTGGATTATCTCTTACAACAACATGCTTTAAATATGGTGCCCATCCTGGCAAGCCCCCGCCAACCTCTGTAGACAAAAACATGAAACGTGCTGGAAAACGGTGGAACGGACACGTTCGCAACGAGCTTTTCGGCATGAGCGCTGGCAGCGCGATGGCCATCACGCGCGAGCGGGCACGCATAGAATGATTCGTATGCTTCCAAGGGTAATGACCACGCGATGTGTGCCATGAGCAAGCCGGCGCGGTCGGCAATTCCCTGCCGGAAACGTTGGCAAGTGTGCGGTGTCCGCGAACCTGCACAATTGGAGGGCGTTTCCTGGAATTTGCGCTGTCAGCATGATGATCATAGCAAATGCGAGCGGGCAGGCCTACAATGAACTGAGCGCCAAGGTGCTCGGCAGAAGTGCTGGTCGGGCGAAGTGCACAAACAGGCACGTTCGGAATGAAATTCCTGCCGGTGGCGCTGATAATTCGATGCGCTGTTCCTGCGAGCCGTCACGTTTGGCGCGCGCGCGCCCTGGCAACGACGTTGGCGGCGCGAACCGCAGTCGAAACATTCCGGCACGTTCAGGAACTGTTCGGGGGGGAGTGGAACGACACGGGAGGGGACGGCACGGATCCTGCAGCGGGAAGCCCATATAAAAAAAAAACCATCGTTCGCACTGCAGTGTGCGCCGTGGAAGCGAGCCCGCACGTTTGAACTGAATTCCCTGGTATCTTGGCAGCGACGCTGGCAGTAGGATGCGCGCCGAACGCATTCCGGGACACTTCGAATGGGATCATTGGCGAGAGGCGCTCGCGCCGCGAAAAGCGCCGTGCGCGAGCCAACAAGTTCGAATAACGCCACATCCTCATTACTTTCGTTTTCCTTCATCGTAAAATCCGTCTTTGCCTCCATTTTTCCTCGCCCCTCGTCCTGAAAATCGTCGTTGCTGTCCTCCCCCTGCTCTTCCTCCTCCTCCTCTTCCTCTTTCTCCTCCTCCTCCTCCTCCTCCTCCTCCTCCTCCTCGTCATCTTTATCCTCCTCCTCCTCCTCCTCCTCCTCCTCGTCCTCCTCTTCACTAGTTCTATCATATCCTCCTCTATTCTCCTCTCTTCTCCTCACTATCCTGCCTCGCCGCATCCGCTTGCTTCCGCGGGGGTGGGGGGAGAAGAAAACATTGCAAAAAACAACAAAGGAGACCCCAGGGTGGAAGGGGTAAGGGTGGAATCTGAACCTGGCCAACCGTAGCCAAACCTCCCCCCCCCCGATTTGCCCAGGTTTGGCGCCCAGGACGCCGTTCGAAGATGACGACGACGGGGACAGGGAGGGGGGAAATGGGGAGAAAGGGGGGGGACCCCAGAGGAAGGCAGATGTGTCTCAGCCGCTAAGTAGAAGCTCGGGCTCCTGATGCTGGAGGCTGGCCAGCTTGACGCCTGCGTGGCACAGATAAGACATGAGGCAAACACATGGACCCGACACATTGATTGTGCAACCTGTGTAAAACCTGTGCCCCAAACTCTGACCCAGCAGCTGGGGAGTCGTCGATAGAACCGCGCACCGCGAAAGCCCGAAACTGCCACGCCCAAGCCCCCTACCTTCACAGACTTTCAATAGAGCGAGGGAGGAAAGAAAACGCGAAGGATGATGAGGGAGTAGAATGTGGAAGACGATGAAGATCTGCAATGAGAGGATGACGATACAATAGGAAGGCGCCGGAGGAGGGCGAACAAAAGGAAGATGACAGCGCCTTAGACTTCGAGGAGAATCACGGCAGGGATTCGGCTTCCAATGGACAGAAATCGTACACTTCGCGATGGTGCACACCTTCCCCGACAATGACAAGCCCGACCCCCGGCCAACCTTCCCAGCCAACCCTGGTTGGGGCAACGCTCTCCGTAATATACACTGGAAAATGCAAGTCCCCCAGGTACAGAACCCAATTGCCGCGCGCGTGAAACTCCAAGAAGGGCTCATTTTCCTCCGGGGAGGGCCCCTCCCCCCCTCCCCCCCTCCCCCCCAAGACAGGGCGGGAGAACGGAGGAACAAAGAACGGAAGGCGGCACGCGAACGGAAAATGTAAAAAAGGCCTCCTGCTCCTCCTCTGCCTCCTCCCCCTCTTCCTCCTGCTCCTCCTCCCTCATCCTTGCCCCCCTCCCTCATCCGCCGCCTCTAACCTTCCTCTTCCCCCCCCCACTCCTCCGCCTCCTCCGGCTCCTACCCCCCCGTTCGTTTTCATCTTCGTCGTCTTTAGGGTCGGCGGCACCGGCCGTAAGGCCTTCGCAATGTAGTAAAGATGCGGGACGGGAAAATGACCACAGCCACTGCTTCTTCTAGCTGGCCGAAAAAGAAGCAGTGATTGTGGTCATTTCCCTGGTGCCAAGCTCAACGAAAATGACCACAACCACTGCATTGTTTCTGCTGGCTGGAAGGCGTCAACAAAAGAAAAGCAGTGGCTGTGGTCGTTTCCACGTCACGTAAAAGAAGCGGGACACTTAAAACCGATGCCCACCGCTCGGGCACAGCCAGCGACGCGCGAAACGCGATCCTCTTTGCGCCACCGCCCGCGGGTGACCCAATTGCAGGAGGCCTGGGCCCCTCGTGAGCGGAAAGCCAGGGGGAAACCCGCTCAGGGGGGAAGCATCGACCTTGCCTCGGCGACCCATCGCCGAGAGATAGGCTTATGTCGGGCGTGTCCCCCAACAGGGGGATTTTCGACGAAAACTTAAAAAAATACCCCCCACATACCCCCAAAAAGGTCAACAAAAATACTCCAAGAATAGTCCCCAGACTATTTTTGGATTATGTTTGGTGTATTTTTTTATTTTTCGTCGAAAATGGGCCTGTAGGGGGACAGGCCCGACTTAAAGATAGGCGATAGGCCCCCGACTCTGGATCCGACTGTTTCTGGGCGGGGTTGGTATAGCGTCGGTCTGCGCACAGACAGCTCTCCCGGGTGTCCCCGGCTGGCCTCCCGAGGCCCCCCGAGCAGTCCCCAGCTGGCCTCACGAGGCCCCCCGAGCAGTCCTGGATCGTCACCCCGGCGCCGCCTCCGGTGGCGCCACCGGCTGGGGCGCTCCGCGCCCCAGGGTTGCGGTGTTGAGACCGCCCGGACTTTGGACGCCCGAAATGGGCACGGAAAGAATGGGTACAGTGCCCAACAACGAATGTCGTCCCAACAGCATTGTACCCATTCTTTCCGTGCCCACCTCGTTCGTGCAGACGGACTACTCGGGAGGCCTGCCTAGGCCAGCTGGGACTACCCCGGGGGGCCTCTAGAGGCCAGCCGGCGCTACCTGGGGGGGCTGTTTGTGCGCAGCCCGCAGCCTTACCAGGCGGGGCGGGAGATCGGGCCCCCATCAGCAACCCGTGGGCAAGGGACCATGACCAAGACTGTACGCAGAAAACTCGTGCCGATCTTGGTCACCGATGATCCTGGTCAGCGTCAATTCGTGCTTGATCATCGCGAATCGGCGACGGCCGACATGGATCATGACCAAGATCGGAGTCGACCAAGTCCCACGACATCGTGTTCATGGTCAATGTGTTTCTCTTCCCGCTTCAGCCAAACAACCGCTGGTAACACTGACACGAACTGGGTCCAGACCCGGAGAGCGCAGGCTGGCAAAAACTTGAGCCGCGACATCTTGGTCATGGTCCCCGTGATTCTTCCCAGTTACTCCCCGGCCCTCTCCCGGGGTGCGTTCTGACACGGATTTCGAAGCGAATCCAGCGGTGGCGACGAGGGCCTCCCGAGAGGCCCCCAAAAGGGGAACACGACGGAAGGGGCAGCGGCATGAGTGCTGACTGCCTACTAGACCACCCCGACCCAACCCGAAGACCCGAATTTGACCCGCATTTCGGGTTGGGGGGGTACGGGCTCCATATGCGTTTTTTCCATGAGGGAGGGAACATCGAGGCCTTCGGGTTGGCTTGGGGTGGTTTGGTGGGTGGTGAGGAGGTACCGTTTTCCTCCTCGTATGTCTGGGGGGGAAGGTCCCCGTGTTCGAAGCGAACCCAGCGGTGGGGCGACGAGGGCCTCCCAGGAGGCCCCCCAAAGGGGAACACGACGGTATGGGCAGCGCCACGGTGGCGACGAGGGCCTCTCAGGAGGCCCCCACGGGAGGGAACACGACGGAAGGGGCAGCGGCATGGGTACGGTTTTCCTCCTCGCTTGTCTGGAGAGGAAGGTCCCCGTGTTCCTTCTCTCGAGGGGGGGGGGGTCGATGCGTCCCTTCTCTTTCCCCGGGTCGCAGCTCGCGGGGCACATGCCGCGCACAAGGGCGGGCGCGGGGGGGGGGGCGGAGAGGCGCCAGGGGCCTGGAACTCGGGGTCGCCGCGCCTGCCGAGGGAGGGGGAGGGGGGAGGAGGGAGGAAATTCGGTTCATGGGGAGGGGAATGGGGGAAGGAGGGGGAGAGTGGGGGAGGAGGGAATGAGGGAGGAGGGAGGAAGTGGGGGAATGAGGGGGGAGAGCGGGAGGCGGGAGGGAGTGAGGGCTGGGGGGAGGAAGTGGGGGCAGGATGAGGAACAAGCTTGGGAAGACGAAGGGATAGAGGACGAGGGGGGGGAGGGAGTTTGGTTGGTTGGTTGGTAACCTCGGTTGATCAGTCGGCAGGTGCTGAAATTGGTTGTCTGGCTGTCGGCAGGGGGCGGATGATGAGGGTTGGGATGGAGCAGGGAGGGAGGAGGGAGGGAGGGAAGAGGGCTAGAGGAAGGCGGAGGGGAGGAGGGCGCCCAGACTGACTGTGAACACCGCCCCGCGTACACAAGGCCCCACCGCCCAGACCGTCCTGGATGGGAGGAGGAAGGAATGGATGGGAGGGAAGAGAGTGAGGGGAGACGATGGAGGAGGGAGGGGAGATGGGAGGGGATTGAGGGGAGACGAGGAAGCGGAGGCGAGGGAGGCGAGGCGAGGAGAGGAGGGGAGGCGAGGGAGGAGGGAGAAGAAAAACGAGGAGGGGAGGGGAGGGAGAGGCGGGGGAGAAGAGGAAGGGCGGAGGGAGGGGATCGGAGCAGCAGGGGGGGGAGGGGGAGGGTTTGGGGAGAGACAAAGGACAAAAGGGGGGGATGGAGAGGGAGAGGATGGACAGCGAGGAGGGGAGAGGAGAGGGAGAAGAAAGGGAGACGAGAGAGAGAGGAGGGGCAGAGGACGCGGAAGGACAGGGAGGAAGCGGAGAGGAGCGGGGGAAAAGCGCAAGAGGGGCACAGCTGGCTGGGATGCCGACCCCCCCCCGAGGGGGAACGCTTGCCTGACAGGCGCCTGCCCCGCTCTGGCAGCCCAGAGGAAGGCTCCGTCCGCTGTTCCATCCCTACACAAGGCAGCGCCGACGAGAAGTACCGCTAGGGGGGTGGCCACACCCGCAAGGAAGCGGCATGTCCCCAAGTACTCGGGCGGTCTCGGGGAAAGGGGTCTGTAGACCTCGTGGGGCCACACTGTGAGACAGAAGCGACGTCGGGGACCTGGAGAGGGCGGGGGATCATGGACAACCAACAAAACGAACAGGAACAGCATCAACTGTCTGACCTCCTCGCGATCTGCGCTGGAACCCCTTCGCTGGCGCGCAGAGCGCGCCAGGGTCGGTGCTGGAGGCGGCGAAGAACCGAGAAATATGCGCGGAGCTCAGTAAGGTCATGTTTGTAAAGTTTTTCCTCATTCGAACGAAGGAAGCGACAGAGGGCGGAGAGTGAATAGAAGCACCGATATCGCTATTCTACGGACCCCTCCTGGAATGTTTTCTGATTGTAATTTCGAGGGCTTCCCGGAAAGCCCCAAATAACGTAAACGAGAGAAGGGCAGCAGTATTGGGACCTTTTCTTGGAGGCGGCCGAAGGATCTGAACTGGACGGGCCCCGAGAAGTCGGACAAGAAGCTGGGATGAGAGCAAGTCCGTTCCAAGTCGGTCCCCGGACCCCTCCTGGGGTCCATCTGGTAACATGTTTCCACCCCAGGTCCGTTGTTGACGGCCCCGGGGCCCCAAGAGACCGAAAGATGCAAAACACCTCCTCAAACCTCGCCCCCCCCCTTCTCGAACCTCGCCCCCCCCCTTCCTGCCCCCCCCCTTCCTCGAACCTCGCCCCCCCTCTTTCTCGAACCTCGCTCCCCCCTTCCTCGAGACAAACAGCCTCGAACCTCGCCCCCCCCCTTTCTGCTCGCTGGAATCCATGCTGGGCCACCTCTGCCCCCCCCTTGGATTTCAGGACATCGGCATCGGTACCTGTTCCTCTTCCTGGAGTCCAGGAGCAAAGACGGCGGCGGAAGGCGCAGACAAAGCCTCGCCAGACGACGCTGCCGCGAACCGTGATGCGGCCGGCCCCCTGCCCTGAGGGGCAACGATCGAGGGGGAACTGGCACAAGGGGGGGGCCGCATGGACACGGAATCGTCGATATATCGCCGATAGATCGGCGATAAGCCCCCAATAGTGAATCCGCACGTTCCTGGGCAGGTTGGGGCTATCGGCTATCGGGCACCCATCGGCGATCAGTGGGCCATGGGGGGTTGATGCATCCCCCATCCCCCCTATCGGTGCCCCTGATTTCCCCTATGCTCCCCTGTGCCTATGCCTGCCCCCCCCCCCCATTCCCATCCCCCCCCCCTACTGCCCCCTCCCCCCCTCCCGAGTCACGCCAGTTACCACCAGCAGTGGATAGAACTAGTGCAAAGTCTCGAGGCGGGAGGGCGGGCTGTGCTGCGCTGTGCTGAGCTGAGCTGTGCTGAGCAGTGCTGTCAGGAGGAGGGGAAGAGGGAGGTGAGTGAGTGAGCGCGGGTGGGACGCGGCAGAGAAGAAAACAAGAACCCCACGAAGCATGTGGGGAACTAGCGCAAAGTCTCGAGGCGGGAGGGCGGGAGGGCCGAGGGTCAGACGGGGGCGGAGGCCTGGGCTCCAGCAGCAGCGGCACGCGCTCGGCCGCCGCGGCGCTCTCGAACGCCCCGCTCGTGCGCGCGAAGGCCGTGACGGTGAGGCCGCCGAGGACCTCGGGCGCGGAGGCGCGGAGGCGCGCCTCCTCTTTGGACGCCCGAAATGGGCACGGAAACAATGGGCACAATGCCCAACAGCAAATGTTGTCCCAAACCAACAGCGGCCGCTGTTGGGCAGGCGGCCTTCTGTCTCGAATGGACACAGGCCGCGGCGGCGCGGACAGCGAGTCCTGTTCAGAATGAACAGGAACTGCTGTTGAGCATTGTACCCATTCTTTCCGTGCCCATCTCGTTCGCGCAGATCTTGGGCAATCTCTGGGCTCTGCTGGGGCCTCTTCGGGAGCCCTCTCGCGCCGTCTCTGGCGCCTCTTGGGCTGTCCGTGTTGGGAGCCTCTCGGGCCACTCTGGGGCGTTCTTCGCTGCGTCTTGCGCCGTCTTGGAGCCTCGGAACGCCGACAGTCGAGAAAACTGAAAGCCTTACGACTGAAGCCAACTGGAAACCGAACCATCTATGTCTATGATTGCGTCTCTCGGCCGACCCCCCCCCCCACCATGCAGGCCTGAGCTTCGACGAAGAGAGAGCGCCATACAACTGCGCTGTCGCAGGTCCGCGCGGAGCTCTCGGATTCGCGCCATCGGCCCGGCGCGCGGCGCGGGCCAGGGGCGGCGCCGGAGGCGCCGCCAGGGGGCCCCGGCGCCGATCCGAGAAATGCGCGCGGAGCACCAAAAATGTGTGCTCAATGATGCTAGTTCCGTCGGCGGTGGGCAAACCTCCCTTTGGTAAACCTCCCTTTGGAGAAAACGGCCTGGGACCGAAGCCGATAGACCTGGACCCGCAAAAATGACGGCCGCGACGCCCTCTCGCGAGCCGAAAACGGCCGATTCGCTAATCGACGTGTCAGGGTAGGAGGTCTGTCCCCCCCCCCGATTGTTCCGAAAACTAGATCGAATCGCGAGATCGGATCGGAAACGCATCAGATCGTCAGCGAGTCGTGCCGAATCGGATCGGCATCGCATCGCCGCGCCGGGCCATGCCACGCCACCCTCCTCCTGCAACAACTTCGCCCACCTCCGTCGATCCTCCAGTCCAGACCCTTCCTCGTGATTCATCCCGAGACCCCCTCGGCGCGTCATGCCAAACATCGTGGCGGAAGGTCTTGTGTTTGCCGTTTAGGGCCTCTGCATCGCTGGGTCCTGCGGCCCTCAAAAAACTACTTTGGGCGAGCAACCGATCCAGGGGACGGGTTGGAGACGTCCGGGAGACGACAAGGATACAACAATCACCACGTCAGACCTGGGTCGACCAGAGCCCTTTTCTTCTTCGTCAGACCCTTCGTTCGGCGGCGAGCCCAGGGGCGGGCCTTCTCAGCAGGCTTGGAAGTCCCTCGGCCTGCTGAGAAGTTTTGTTAAGCTTTCCCCAAAGACACATAACACCTCTCACAAGGGCCGAGGCCTTCTGGGAAGCCCCGCCGTCTTCTGACAAGGCCTTCTCCCTCTCACTTCCCCCCCTCGCTCGCCGCCGAGTTGTGACCGCACGACGCCGCAAGCCCTCGTCATCGCTCGGACGTCCATTCCCCGTGCAGTTTTCGATTCCGTGCGTGTTTTTCCTTGCTGCCGATGATGCAGGGCACATCTCGATGGTCCTCGCAGAGGAAAAATGCACACGTCCGAGCGATGCCAAGACCCCGCTAACTCCTGCTCTCCTCTGCTACCACCTGAGGCGCAACATGGGACCCCCTGGCGAGACGAGTGCCCCCTGACTCCAGAGAGCCACGCCCTCCCGCCTGGCCGCTTTCGCGGCAGGTGTGGTGGGCTTCGCGCGCGGCAGCCCAGGGCTGGACCTAAGCGGTGTTTGGGCGAGATCGTGGGCCGTGTTCGGTTCGATTTCGTTTTGCGGTAAAGGCGGATTCGAGACAAAACGAGGGAAGCCGATATCAAAACGAAACGAAAAACACCGTTTAGGTTCGGCCCTGCAGCAGCCCTCTTGGTGTCGGTCGTTCGCCTCACCTCTCTGAGTTGTGTGGCTGTGAGTCGGGCCAAGCCTTCTCCTCCTCATACTCCTCCTCCTCCTCCTCCTCCTCCTCCTCCGCCTCGTCCTCCTCGCTCCCTCCCGCTCTCCCTCCTGCCCACCCCCGCTCGTCCCCGCTCGGCCTTTCCCCCCCCCCCCCCCCCTGGGCGGCCTCTCGCCGTCGGCCTCTATACGCGCCTCCCGCAGCCTCTTACCCCAGGGCTCCCAATTGCGCGCTTCGCGCTGCGCAAAGTGCGAATCACTTCGCGCTCTCGCGCCGCCTCCCAGGGGAGAAGAGGGGGATGAGGAACAATCGGAGCCGAACCGCGAAGCGCGAATAACTTCGCGCCCTCGAGGGCGCCCTTGCTTACACGCACGACGTGTGCGAGAGCACACGCGTGCGTGTGTATGCGGTTTGCTCGCCTGCTCGTGACCATGTGCCAGACCATCCCCCAACTAACCCGAAGACCCAAATTTCGGTTAGGGTTACGTCGGGCGTGTCCTCCTACAGGAGGATTTTGGACGATACTTAAAAATACTCAAAAATTTTAAAAAGTAGTCTAATATGCTCAAAAAATCGTCCTCTGGCTATTTTCTGGCTATTCTTGAAATGTTCCTCCTGTAGCGGGACAGGCCCGACTTAAAGTTAGCGGGGGGGGTACGGGTTCGACCTGTGTTTTCTCAGTGTTCCCCGACGCCCCCCCGCTGGAGATGGAGGGCACACCGGAGCCTTCGGGCTGGGTTGAGGTAGTTTGGTGGGTGGTGGCTCTCGGCGCACGCCTGGCGCCAACCTGCGGGGCAGAAGGCGGAGACGAGGGGGGGCTTCTCTATGAAGGCCGCGTGCCCAGGCAGGCCAACTGGCCATCGCGGCCTCCACGTCACAGCAGAGCTCCGGAGGGGCGACAGGGGCCTCCACGCAGGGGGGCGCCCCTTACCACGCCAAACCACCCGCAGGTGTGCACGACGGTGCCCGTCGGTCGGAAGGAGGAGGTAAAAGCATGACGTAATTAGGGAGGCGGAGAAAGTGGATTGGGCCCAGGCACTCCCAGAGAGCAACACCACACAGCACAATCGTGTCGCCTCTTGAAGCAGGAGGGCGCCCAGAATAGACTGGGACTTGGGCATCTGAATATACCTGCAAGGAAAGACCAGCGTGTGACTTCGGGGGTCCGACGTCGTGCTGGCTTCATGACGTGGACCCCCAGAAGTCTCAGAAGTCTAGACCCCTTCCCCAGGACCGGCTTTTCACCCTCAGCCGTTTTTTGAAGGCCCCCGGAGGCCGAACATTATCAAGAGCCATCCGCAATGATCCGCCATCGTGCCTCTGTGGCACGAAGCGGAGTGTCCTCAATCCCGAGCCTCAGTCCCCAGTCTTGAGGATTCTGCTCGGGGGCGGCAAAGAGGGGGGTGTCCAAGAGGGGTGTGTGCAAATCATGACCGGCGGCATGTGCGCGGCCCAGCGGGGGGGCCAGGGACGTGATGAAATAAGAAGAGGCGCCATGAAATCTGGGGAAATATCATGGCCCACGCCACGATATCCCCCCCCCCCCCGTCATCACTCCCCTCTTTTCCGCCCCCGATCTGTGAGGGGCCTGGACCCCTACCTCTCCAGTCTACCGGGGCTTCCCGCGTGCCTCCTGGGGCTTGTCGCGCACTGTCGCACCACGTTGTCGGGCGCGAGAGGGCCCCAAGACGAGCCAAGAGGGCCCCTAAGAGGCTTCAAAGACGGTCTAGGAGGGCCCCGAATCGCCAAGCAGTCGGACCGAGACGCCCAAGATGGCCGTCAGTCGGCCGGCAAAGCGCCCACGACGTGCCCAGAGGGCTCCAAGAGCTTTCCCAAGAGGCCCCAAGCGGCTAAAAGCATTGATGCTCCTTCGGTTTTCAATGTATGTAGGTTCTCCGCAATTCTAGCTTCCGACGCTCCAAGACGTCCCAAGATGCCCCCAAGACTGGCCCAATACAGCTCCAGAGGCCTCCAAGAGGGCCCAAGACGGCCCAAGAGGGCCCCAAGACGGCCCAGGAGACGCCCAAGAGGGCCCCCAGAGGGCCCCCAGAGGGGCCCCAAAGGGGGAAGACGAACCGAAAATCGGAGCCCCAAAGGCGGCCCCCAAACATCCCTCAATAGGCCTCAAACCGCCTTCCGCGACATCCCAACGAACGTCCTAGAGGCCCATGAACCACAACACAGGCACGGTGGTGGGGTGGGCCGAAGGCCATAGATTGTTTCATGACCCAAGGGGGGTCTGGGCTTCAAACTGCCCCGGGAGACCTGGAACTCGCCGTCGTACGCACACAGGCGCGGCATGCCAACGGGCCCGCGCGCCGGGTCGCACTGGTCCCGGACATCCTCCGGCGCGTGGCTGGAGAGGTGGTGCTCCTGCAGGGGCTCGCAGCAGGACGGGCGCGCGCCCGAGGGAGCCGCGCTCCCGCCGACCGGCCATCACTGGGGGAGCTGTGGTCCCTCCTTACCCCCCTGGGGGAACCCATCGCCTCGACGATCTCTCGAGAGGGGTGTCGAAATCGATGGGTCCCCCAGGAAGGTACAGTCGGGGCCTTGACCTAAGGAACCAAAAATAAGGAACGAGGCCCCTTTTCTCCATAAGTTAAACTTCGATTTCCGATCGAAAACCAAAGGAAAACCGGAGGCAAGCTGTGAAACAATGAAGGAACACGGAGCCGCTCACTGTAAGGACCACAGCTCCCCCAGGTGTGGCTGGCCTGTCTCGGGCGGGGGGGCCGGGCTATAGGCCCGGTTCCGAGGGTCGGCCCACGGCGAGCCCAGAGGCGACGCCATCTCCACGCCGGGTGTCCAGGGCGGCGCCGGGCCGGCAGCGCCCCAGCTTCGGTCCGATTCGACTCGCGGATCGGTGCTTCGACTCCTCGACTCGTCGATCGAGTCCTGCGGGTTCGAACCGATTCGACTCGTGGATCGGTGCTTCGACTCCTCGACTCGTCGATCGATTCCTGCTGGTTCGGAACCGATTCGGATGCGGCGTTCCGTCGCCATGGGTCCGAGGCGTTCAACTTTGGGGGACTGGTCCAACGCCTTTTGCGGGAACGCGCAATTAAAACCTTCCCGGGAGATGGCGTTGCGACTTATTTTTTATGTTCAGTTGTTGCTGCCGATCTTCCCGAGTAGCACACAAACAACTTGCCAGAGAGTGTCCATGCGTGTCGGGGTGGATGAGAAGGGAGCTACAGGCTAGAGTAACACCTGATAGCAAGGACGCAAGATAAAGGATGCAAGTGCCTGACACACGTTTCGAGCGGGGCGCGGCCAACGAACGAGGCCAAGGATGGGCCGAAGGGAAAGGATGCACATAGAGGGGGACAAAAAACGGCATGAACATAGACGTTCGACGGTCCGCGCGGATTCCTTGGATTTGCACTGGACCCCCCTCTCTCGCGCGCCCAGAGCGCGCCAGGGGCGGCGACGGAAGCGCCGCGAGGGGGCCCCAGCGCAGCTCCAAAAAATCCGCGAGGAGCTCCGAAAGTTGATGTGTGTATTAAGATGAAGCCAGGATCGGGGCAAAATTTGAGCGGGGTAAAAATCATGCTCGGTTTTTTAAATCACCGGGGGCGCCGCCGAACGGGCCTGCCACGCCTTGGGCGCCATCGGCTTCGCGAGGGAAAAAAATGCGCCCCGGCGCGGATGAAGCCACGGCGCGTATTTGGCCACGCGCGCCCCCGAGGGAATTCAGCTCCAAGCGCATTTCACTCCAGAAGGCACGAGGTCAACAAAACAAACTTGAGGCCCCAAGGGGGCCCCAAGGAGGCGGACCGCCAAAACAATCACGCAACCAACGCAACGAAAAAACACGAAAATGCCAAAAAACGCGTCACTCAGTGACCTCTTCGGCCACGCAACACCGCGACAGTGCCCAAGAAGGCATTGGAAAAAAAGTCCCGCGCGCGGCCAGGCGACTTCCCCGCGCCGCCCCAAGGTTACCGAAACGCGCCGAAATAACCGCACAGAACACCCTGGAAAGTCTTTGCAAAGTCCCCGCGCCATGCAAGATCCGCCACCGAACAATCTCGAGGACACCTAGCGCGTGCGCGCGGGCGTCCACCATGGATGCCCAACTCCGGTTTCCGAGACAATCGCGCGCAACCGCCTGGGGGCCTCGGCAACCTCGCGATTGGACCAGGGGCCCGCGGGCCCCAGGGAATCGCAGACCGAGTGCGCAACTCCGGAAGCATCGGGCGCGGCGCCAACCAATCGCTCGTCTCTGGCTGACAGTAAGACGCCTGGAGACCCGGTAAAACCTAAAGGACCGTTTTTCAGAGATGCGCAGAAACAGAAACCGGGGCGCGCCAAATTCGCGCGTCCGAACTTCTCTGAGAATCTCTGAAAATCTCTGAACTAGCCACCCCGCGTGAAACATTCCCCTGGACCCAAAACCTCGGAGCTGGCCGAAACTCTCTGAACGTTGTTCGGCCCGCGAAATTTGGCGCGCCCGGATTTCTGGTTCCGAGATTCTCTGAAATCGCGCTGCGGCGGCGCCCAGCAGGTCCTCGCGCGCCCAGGGTGGGGGGCGTGGACATCGCGGGCCGCGATGGTCCCGACCGCGAGGTCCTTCCTCCTGCCCCTCGACGAGTCCACGCTCATGGACACGCTCTCTGAGCTGAGCGTGGACCGCGCCATCCGCCGGTACTTCTGCGCGACGACAGCCAACTGGCCGCCGACGGACAAGGCGATTTTTCTCCGAGCTGCGCGTGCCACCGAAAACGTACAATAGCCCCGGGCTCGGGGAGAAAAACTTTCGAAGCATTTTCAGGCCGCCAGCGTCGTGGCTGCCGGCCCGCCGCGCGCCGACCGAGAGACTAGCTGGGTCCATGACGTCCACGGCGGCGGGCGGGCGCCCAAGAGCTGTCGCCACGGTGCGCGCGGCGGGGCGCCCGCCCAACTGCAACCGCAAATGCGGCCTCCATGGCGTCACAGGCGTAGTAATATGTGCGACGCATTCTCGGGCCCTCCATCAGCGCATTGGCCAGCGCCGAAGTCCCTGAAACGCGAAACTACTGCGCCCCCCGTGCAAGCCGCGCACCCGCTCACAATGCTCGTGCACACCAGATTTTCTGCCCACCCTCAACAGTTTAATTGAGCACCCATGTGTTACTTGGGCTCCCCAAGCCCTCGAAAACTCTTTGGGAACTTCTGCGAATGCGCGCGCTACGCTCCACAAATCGGCCTTCCATTTTTCTTTGGAACTCTCCCAAAATCTCTGGTTCCGATTTGTCCCGATCTTCCGCTCAACTGATGTATGCTTTCTTCTTCGAGCAAGGATACCCTGGGAAATTGGCTCATCGTCATTGTCAATGCTGAGCATACACAGGATAGGTGTACCGAATCAGCTGCGGAAAGCCGGCTCTTCCCTGCACCTTCCAAGGGTCCGGCGGCGGGCCGAAACCGGCTGCAATGCATTGGCTCTGCTGCGGCAGATGGCTCGTCGACCGGACCTCGAGAGTCCGAGCAGCTGCAGAGCTCTTAGGCCTTTGATCGGCCCCCGCCGAGCGCATCAGTCTGCAGTCTCGAGGGCGGTAAGATCGGTTCACCTGTCGAGCTGCACTCGAAGAACTAGATCGGGGCCACAACTGTTCTGGCAAGGTCGCTGCAATGATCCTGAATCGGGGTAACGAACGAGAGCTCCAGAGCCTTTGCATCTCGGCGCGCAGTCTACATAAGGTGAACTCGTATGATAATTACGCCACTCGCTCTTCCAGCGACTGCTGAGGATACTCCACCTCTCTGCAGGGAGGTGGAGTATCCGGGAACGCACTGAGCGGTTGGACTGCCGCACCACAGGCTCGTGTCTTGACGTGGGCGTTGGTGTCCGACACCACGCGGACCGTTCAACCTTGAACGATCGCGGCTTGCATCAAACAAAAACACACACTTCATAAACATAACTTTTCCCCGACAGGAATCGCAGTCGATATCGCAGGCTGTTCCCGAAGTGCAAACGATATGTGACGGCCATCGGAGCATTGCCAGTCTGCCTGAGCACAGCTCTGCACGGCCAGGGCGCACAGGAGCGAGGAGCAACCATGGAAGACGGGGTAAGGAAGTCGAGCACCTAAGGCATGGAGCAGATGCTGCGAGAAAGTGCTCGCCGCTCTGACAAGGTTAGGGCAACAAAAAGTGGCATAAACATAAAAACTCAGAGGTCCGCGCGGATTTCTCGGATCGGCGCTGGGGCCCCCTGGCAGCGCCTCCGGCGCCGCCCCTGGTGCGCTCCGTGCGCCGGGGAGGGGATCCAATGTGGATCCGAGAAATCCGCGCGGACCTCCGAGTTTTTATGTTTCTGTCTCTTTTTGTTCCCCTGAAGGTTGACCGCGTTGAGTGATCACGTCAAAACGAAGGAAGCCCGCTGGGCTGGTGGAGGCCTATGGCGGCAACGGCCAGGACCTTACGTGTGGACCCGTGGACGGCCAGACTCCTACAGTTGATGGGACAGCGCGATGGCAGTCAACAACCCTGCGTGTGGGTGGAGCCCTGTGTAGCCCTGCCACCGAGAAATGAAGAACCTGCCTGCCGACTGGGTTCACAGCGATGCGGCGGTGCAGAAGTTCACAGCGCGCTGCGCCGGTGGCACTGCTCTGGAGGAATTTGCTCCGCGCGGTGGTCTTCCTCGCCCGACACCCTGCCCGCGGAAGGCTCTTGACGCAAACATTCAAATACTTGATACCTTTGTTCGTGCGCCCATGGGCGACTTCTCCTGAGACAGGAAGGACGCTTGCTGCCGACATCCTGGGCGCTGAAGCGAAGACAACGCCGGCCCGCTTCGCAGCCGCCCACACCCCAGCTGCTTCCTCCCCGATCCTCCCGCTCGGTGGGACGCAGCCAGGGCGCGGATGCCTTCCGGGTGCGGAGAGATCGAGAATCTCTGAGATCAGGCGGCAGGCGGCTCTGGAGGACGTCTCGGGCGCCGCGGCCTTCCTGGAGACAGCTCCGGAACGCTC